GTATTGATGAAAGTGATCAAGATATAATACGGCGTAAAATTTACCGCTTGTTCGATTTAAAAAAATTGACGAAAGGCAAGTCTTAATCGAATCTTTTAGAATTCGGAAATGGCGACTGGAATATCTAGAAAAAAATTAGCATTTACAGAGGGCAACAAAGGCCAATTATTTACTTGGATGAAACCTGGTTCGACACTTATGATACCCTGGAAAAGGGTTGGCAAAAGAATAACTATTTTGCATGCTGGCTCTAAAGATGGTTGGATTCCAAATGGACTTTCTTTGCCTGCGAAAAATATAAAAAGATTTTCCTCTGGATTGCCATGAAGACACCACCGCCTATTTATTTGAAAGTTGGTTTAAGAAAAAACTAGCTCCAAACATTCCTCCAAATAGCGTCATTGTAATGGAAAATGCAAGTTATCACAGTAGACAGTTGATTAAAACCCCTTCCTCGTGTGACACAAAAGCAACAATCCAAAACTACATGTATAATAACGAAATTAATTGAGGTTCTACAAAGCTTGAACCTACAAAAGGAATACGTCTGTGATAATTATGCAAAAAGTGTAGGGCATACAGTTTTAAGGCTTCCACCTTGCCACTGTATATTTAATCCCAATAAACATGTTTGACACCAACTGAAATCTGCCATTCGTCGTAACAATGTTTTTCCCAGTGTTACCTCCAATGTCCTCAAACTTATAGAAATCGAAGTTTTTAACATCCCTTTATAAGAACATTATTTGCGTGGCAACACTTTTGTGAATGTGAAGCTATAGACCGTGTAGAACACAATGGAAGTTCGTTTGTATCGATGGGTGTCGATGAAGCAAAAGGGTTAGACAAGGATGCGTTAGGTCTCTTCTATTGTTTAACATAATTGGGAATTATGAGTAGCCTGAACACACTTCTGGCCTCTTCTTCAGATGCAATTACCAAAAGTCCCCAAGCGTAGAGGCCATGGTCACTGGTCGACAGCAACTAACTGAAACCCCTACCATAGCGAGCTGCGTAGTGGTAAGACCGTTCTAATGTGACGACACTCACGAACCTAATAGATTTTTTTAAACACACACATAAACGTTTAGTTTATGTCTACAGTTTAAAATCCGGATTTGGAATAAAGCAAGTATTACTATCAGGCAAGATATAACGGGAAAAGTGCGCGCATCGCACAAAAACCCGTCCCAGTATGCCTGCAACAATGCGATGAACTCCCAACTTCTTCGCGAACAATGGCCGCCAATGTGTGGATCGTCACCTTCACCCGGAATGATTCCACGAAAAAGGCATTTCCGGTAAAGGACCCTCTATACTCACCGAGGCCGAGACCGCAGCCATACTGAAAACTGCCGTGTTCACTATCAGTGACCATGTTGAACGCAGTACATAATTTATGATTTTACCAGTCGACCCAAAAATGGTTCAAAATATTCCCGATATGAATAGATAGGATTCGAAAAGTTGATACAAATTGCTCTAAAAATTAATTAATATTAGCATTGGAATAATCTAAAATTTTTAAAGTTTTGCGAGATACGGTTGTGCCAATGTGCAAGTATGAGAAGTCATTTTGTCGAGTTTATCAGCTCGATCATTAATTGATATTTTCAAAAACCGTCATAGGAATCTTTTGAGCTCTAATTTGAACAGGTTGTTTCAGAACAAGTGCGAAAATTTAAGGGGATGATTGATTGTTGAAAATAAAGGCTAGCTTGTGATATAAAAAAGCTAACCTCATTAATCAGACTTTTAATTTTTTATGCACAAAACAGTTGTCTTTCAACCATTTAATGGAGTTTATTATTTATTTAACTTCCTTTACTGACAGTTTTTAAGCCGTCTATCTTTTGGTGTTCATCCAGCATTCAGTCTCGATTTCGTCCCGAAGTCTGGAAAAGAGAGGAAACTAGCAGCCACATAGACAAAACAAAAAAGAGTGCGACCAGAGAGATTCTAATATGGTAATGAGATAGGCGCCAACTAGGAGCTCGTGGACAAAAGGAGTGCAAAAAGCTGCATCCGAAAGAAAACTACAAGCTGATCACTGGAACAACAGAGACGTCTGGAGCAAAACGAAACAATTGAATGGAGAATCGACGGGCCTAGTCAAAAACGACATGTAGTAAAAAAAAAATATGATTAATTGAGTTATGATTTCAGTTTCTTTCAGTTTCAGTCATCAATATATCAATTACCTTTAATTTTATCCAATTTCCATTTTACCGAACGATAATGTAATCAAAATCCAAAATAAAATAGTTTTTTAGAATCGCTGTATCTCAAGAACCATGCAAGTTGACCCACGTTCAAATGAAATTTTTGTCTTAACAAATTAGTCAAAAATTGACTCTCTATAATTTGTACAGGGTGAATCAACGATAAAATAAACTTGGTTCCCAAAGTTATGAGAAAAATACAAAAGTTAAAAGCACGACGAATAAAATAATAAAATATACGAAAAAAGTCAAGTAAAGGACATATTTTAAAAAATTTAATATAATTAAATATTTAATTATTTACTTTTTCTGTGAACTTAAAATTTCATCATTATTTTCGCCATTGCTGAGAGTTCTCTGGGTAAACATTGGAAAAGTTAAAATAATTCGCAGAGTATAAAAATATAACCTACTCAATTAAGATTGTAGATGTGTCTTTTAAGAAAATATTTTTTCAATTCATAGCAAACCAAAACGTTTACATTTTGAAATTATTGCTTAATAAAAAAATTGAAGAATTTAAAAAGTAATTCGAAACAACATTTAAAAATAGGGTATTCGATTTTAAAAAAATATATTTTTTACTCGTCACGCCTTTTTGAGTCACGCTATATACTTTTAAATACTTTTCAATTGCGCATCCTAACAATATTTACAACTCATTTTCTCATAACTTTTGAAACATGAAATATAATTAACTTTTCTATAGAGTTGATTCACCCTGTACCTAAATTTGATCGTGTGTAGTGAAACCGTTATATTATATATTTTTTATTATATAACTATACATGCTCGACGCATCGTAGGCCAAACCACTAAGATCCGCCTTAATGCGTCACTATGAAATATACACGTCCATAAAAATGAATGCATTTCTGTTATTTCGTTTTCATCCCCGAAGCTGGATTAATAACGCCTTCCTTAAACCGAAGAATGGATCCCGAGCGTGATACGGAACCGGATATTACCAAATGCACTTTTAATCAACCCCTTGACTTTAAAAATCAACTTTTGAATCGGCCTGTCGTCTACTGGGTGATTTTTAGTGAACGAAGGGTCGTATCGCAATATCTATGGCGACGGTAAGCACAAACCTTTTAGCGAGAAAGACCAACCAATGCCACCGAAAAAGGAGGAAGACCGGCCAGACATGGAAATATAATGTTTGTATAATTTAAAAAACTGATATTTGGAACAAAGGGATGAAAAAAAATCTAAATCTTTCTTGGGATGTCATATTCATAATCATATTTTTTTATTTCTCAACGAAAGCAAGATTTTAATTATTTTTATTAATTTTATTTTAGTTTTGGGTGGGTATTTTAATATATAGCTCAATATGTGCCACCTGAGCTGTAAATGCAGCGATCAAAGGCAACGCTACCAGCTCATATTTCTTGGGTTGGAAGTACCATATTTTAAAATTTATACATTAACATTTCTTCTAAATAATCCATTTTGGGAATCGAAGATTAATCAAATAGGTCTAATTGATCAAAAATCAGCTTTTAAAGAGAATTCAATCTTTATGAGAGATGTATTGTTACATTAACTCCTATGAAGTTATTCTAGCATTTTCTAAAAAATTAGAAAGTTCAATAACTTTCTCAAAATTAAAAATTATTCTTGTTAGAGTCCGTCTTCAGCACTGGCAACAATCTCAGCGAACCTCGATCCTGCGTAGTTCGAAATAGTGAATGGGCATCCATACCTGCCCAATGATGTTCTTTAGCTATGAATGTTTCTTTCATTATCAATCTACTTCCTTAAATTATGTGACCAAGTTAGGCTGTCTTTCGTTTTTAAACTTTGTGCACCAACCCTCTTTCTCAGTGGACTCGCCTCAACACCTCCTCGTTCATGATATGCGTCGCTCAAGGTATTTTGAGAAGTCTACCAGTATCACATCTCAATTGTGTTAACCTTTAGAGTCACTTTAGAGTTAGTTTCTCACAAATCGGTGTCAGCCCCAGGCTTAGGGTGGGATTACACAGTTTAAAGGTGATTCTGCTCTTCATTTTAATTTCTGGATCTAGATTCTTGCTAATTCAGGTATTATTAGTATTGTTGACTTAGCAAGCGTTGCACGGCTTCTGGGCTACCTGCTAATACCGCGTTATCATCAGCGTATGTGAGATTGTTAAACGTCACCATTGATCTTGATCCCTTCACTGGTGTCTTTTATTGCCTCTTTAAAAGTGTTTTCGGAGTATAGATTAAATACAATTTTTGAATACAATACAAATTTTTGATGATTGCAAAATCGTTTTTATCTAGTCCCTTTAATTTCAATATTTCTACAGGATCTGCTTGGTCGAATAATCAATAAAGTATATATCAATAAAACATATACCATCTTTTGTTGCTTTTGAGATGACCCATCAAGTTTATAAGGCTCTACAAAATAAGGACAACCTCAGACCTGAATATATCCGTCTCCGCATCCATTTTGTTAATAAACTTAACAGATAAAACAACTTCCAATAAATAGGTTCAAAAACCTAGTGAAAGACTTTTTAATAAAGGAATTCTTCTATAATCTGGAGGAGTTTATTACTAGCTTTCGGTGATAAGTTTCTCTCACAACCATCGTCGACGTATCATGTTATATTTTATTGTCATCACATTGTATACAAACTAAATTTCTTTTTTTTCTAAATGTAAATAAAGTAGAGTCATGTGGGGCAAGTGTGCGCAGCGGATAAGTGTGCGCAGGCTTATTATTTATAAAACCGTTGACAGTAGAGTAGGGGAATCAACTGCCTTTAGTAGTCACTACGACGTTGGACAAAAGACTAGACTCTTGTCTGGCAAAGTTACGTAGTTTTAGTAATATTGGTAAGTAAAAGCTTTGGTTATTATTCTTACGATTTTCTCCAATTTAGAATTCAAATACTTTTATATTTATGTAGCGGTAATTAGTATTAATTATGTCCAATTATGCTCGTTTATATATCTAATTTTATCAGCTGTACATCAAAACTTGGTAGAATTACGCAAAAATGTGTAATTTTAAACTAAATCTGTAAAGGCGATTAGGGTTAAGTGTACGCATACGGTTGTGGGGTAAGAGTACGCATATTTTAATGCGTACTTTTACCCCGATAGTGAATTCTTTGTGTATTGACACTCGTTGTTATTTGTTTCAGGTTATACTTATATATTTCTTAAAAAAAAAACTACAATGCCTCGAAATTACAAGCGGAAGGCTCCACACAGGTCCGTTGTTACCCGTGATCAATTTGATGCTGCTAAGCGATTGATTGCCGAAGGTTTAAGTAAAAGAAAAGCAGCTGAACAGGTTGGAATGAAAGAGAGTACTCTCAAGAAGCGATTAAAATCTGATTCAACTGCTCTAAAATTAGGAAGATTCACTTCAACTTTCACAAGTGAGCAAGAAAATGAAATATATAATTATTTAAAAAGATGTGATGATCTCTATTATGGTCTTAATATGACAACTCTAAAAACATTGATCTACGAGTATGCTGAAATAAATCATATTCCTCATCGGTTTAGTCAAAAGTCGAAAATGGCTGGACGTGATTGGGTGTATGGATTTTTAAAAAGGCACAATGACTTGAATTTACGACAAGCCACGTCAACTAGCATAGCTAGAGCAAATAAAACTGAAAATTCTAAAAAAAAAAACCAAGAAAAATACTACTACCAAAGATAAGGCTGTTAAAGTTAAGGCTAGTCAAGAAAATATTAATGATTTTAAGGAAAATGATGATTACTGTGGATTGTGTGGTGAAAAATACGTTGATCCAAATACAGAGGATTGGATTAAATGTAGCTTATGTCATAGCTGGTGGCATGAACAGTGCACTCATTATGAAACTGGTGCTTTCATATGTGATATTTGTTCTAATAATTAAGATTTTATCATATTCGTTAAAAACGATCTCATTTGAATTTATATCTATTCAAAACTGTTAACTACTCTAAGCCTTATTCTCGATAAAAACCAAGTTAAACAGTATTTGGCAAAAATTATATATTTAATATATAAATATAAAAAATGAAGTAAAAAATGATAAGTATTGATAAAAAATAATATTTATAACATTAAACATGGTGTAACTATATGTAACAAGTTATGGTTTAAATTATTACAAATGCGCACACTTACCCGCAGTGCTGCGCACGTTTACCCCAATATTGGGGTAGGTGTGCCCATTCTGACTAACCTTTATTTTATTTTATTTCTTTAATTACAATTAAGTTAATTGAATTTCATGTTAAGTAATTGTTAAATCAATAAATCCTTTAAATAAATACTTTTATTTCAATTTATTTTGTACAATTATTACAATTTTATGACCATAGAAAAAAAAATGTGCACTCTTGCCCCACATGACTCTACATACCGCCAAAATTTCAGACACGTCACTCTAGGTCTACATTCCACAGTAATTTTATTGAAACTCCCATTTTCACTAAGCCCTCGTTGGCTCAATTAGACATTCGGTTAAGATTAGAACTACTTATTTTAACACAACGTTTTACTCAAGAACCGTAAATTTGGGAGGAGATTACTTTTATGCAGCAATGACAGGACTGCCCAAAGAAAAAAATGGTTATTTAAACTTGACATCCCTGGAGAATTATCAACTTTGGTATTGGGACAAACAAAGAAGGAATAAAACCCCGCATATTGAGATTATTGTTTTGCAAGTAGTAAAAATAATGAACATGTTAGAGAGGTTCACATTATCCCTTTTTTTTTAATGCAGGAGGAGCGATTCCCCTTCTCTCGACGAGATACACCTCTCCCATCACTGAGCTGAACTTTATTAATTACGCAACCGAATTGATGACGGGCTGTCATTGTGTTCTCGACCCGGCAGTCGGAACCCCATCTGCAAGATTTAAAGTAATTAATTTGCCGGCATAGAACGCGCTCTCCGGATAGGCTATTCCACAGTGAAAAAAATGTTATTGTATTTATTAATATCCTGATAGACTAGGCGCTTTAACTAATAATTGAAATTAAGTGATAAATTGTACTGTATAAATTAATAAAATGTCCACGAAAACTCTCATAGAAAGACTGAAACATCCCTTATAAGTCAAAATTCGCAAAGTTATTTCAAAAAGTTGTTCCGAATATTATTCGAAGCCCACATACCAAATTTTATGCCAAAAATTCTAAGTATTATAGATTAATTTTTTAATTATTTGATGACACAGGCCAAGCGACATTTTTAGTGACGTTGATGATATATGGAGTATTTCTCAGCAATCACAGTGATTTTCACAATCAGAACTTAATGATTTAGTGAGAGACTTTGATTTACCTAAGCACCTATCCGAAATTTTATCATCTAGATTTTGAAATAAAAATTCAATGGCATGATTAAGAAATTATAGCGCAAGAATTTATAAGCAATATTGAAAGTGGTTCACTAGTTTGTTGCATCGATACTCCTAATCTAATAAAGAAGCCTGGTACAGACTGCAATTCTGGGGACTGGATGATTTTTTTGACTCATTTTTCATTCTATACAAAAGAAAGAATACTAGGAAAATCTGGAACTACTGCTCGAAGGAATCAAATATTGTGGAATTTCTACTAAGGATATACGAAGTACCGAAAAGATTGCATGGGTCTCATTTACTAATATTATGAAGAGTTTTCCAGTAAACAACAAATATCCTAATTACAAAGATATTGTAGAAAGAAATAGAAGAAACAGAAATTTGCTCCAATATGAATATAAAACTGCACTTTTTACTAAACCAAGTTTTCCGGCCAAGAGAATTTGTTATTTATTTTTCTTTTAATGTTAATGAAAACCTTACGCTTTTCAGGTTTAAATTTAGGAGGCCTAAATCATACAGAATCAGATGTCATATCAACAGTTTAAAAATTGTTGTCCGGTGTAATTATTTGATTGAATTTCATTTAGTCATAACAGAATTATAATGCAGTGAGCTATCTATTATATCTGAGAGAGAAAGAGAGCAACATTTCAGCAAAGTGAGAAATTTCCTTTATTTCGTCTCAATTGGAGAAACAATAAGGGGCTCTGCAGTATTTTCTACCATGTTATCAGCTTCCCACATTCTTCCTTATATTTAAATCACGTTTTCCATGTCTTTTTCGGAATAATTAAATGAGCGAGGAAGATATTGAGATTGTGCCCATCTTTTCTATAATATGTACGAATCAGATCAAGTTTGGTGCATGTCAATTGAATTACATTTGAAGAAGAAAGACTGAGGTTAAAAGTTAATACGGAAAAGGCATGATGGTAATCGGGGTAAACGTCAGACAGAGAAGCGTAACCGGATTCAACATGTTTCTAATTTCAGACACCTCGGCAGCTTCATAACCAAAAACCCAGAACCGGACACGAAGATACGAATGAAAGATACAGAATTGAACAAGAATACAAATATACTAACTCTACAGTAGAGACCTGAACTTTAAGGTTAACACTGCGAGTCGACTGGAAGCATTTGAAATGTGGGTGTCTAGGAGATTGACCATACAAGCAACATTGAAATCCTATGATTAGTGCCACACATCATGAATACTCAAGCCCTCAACGCCCCTATAGCCGCACAAGACCGTGGCCAATTTTCCCTTGAGTGGCACCTTAAGAAGATGTATGACTAATGTCATTTTTCTTCCAAGAAAATTTTTACAGATTTTCTTGAGTGGGAGCAGTCTTTATGTATGTCTATAACATACCCAGAATTAATAGAACTCGCATTTGCTGGAAGTAGTCTTCAGCATTCATGTCTCGAACTGCTAATAGCGTGAAGTTTCTTTTTCCACGAATCGAATTTTGACTTTGTCAATTATGAAGGTCATTTATTACAGTTTCCTTTCTTCCTGCACCTAGCCATTGTCAAGAACGAACTTTGTCCGAAAGTAACTGTATAAGAAGCTTTTTTCATGGAAAACATTTTTTTTTGCATTTATAAAAATTTTCAAACCCCTTAAATTTCTTAGTCTTATATACAGTGTGTCTCACTCAAAAATTCTACAACCTTCTAAAATCCTTATTTATGATTCGAGTTTGATAATTTTCTTGTTGGATCGATCTCAGAAAAAAAGCACTCATACCTTGTTAAGTTTTCAAAGAAACTTCCATTTACAAATCCTCTTGATTCCTTCTGCGTGGGTTCTTTATAAATCAATCTCGCTGATGCTTGTGAAAAGCTATCAGTGCTCCCTTCACGCCTTCCATTTTAAAGCAAAATTAGGGAAACGCTTGATGATACTTTTGTTATTTTCTCTATTTTAGATTTTCTTACGTCCTAAGATACGTTTTAGCATTATATTTGAAACCAATATTAATCTCCCATTGTTAAATATTCTCATCAATGAAAAATCAGTCCTAATATTGGTTCATTCTGTTTACAGAAAACCTGCGGACATAGACGTCAAAACCAGATTTAGCACTCGTCCAAAAATATATGTTCTATTCGTCAACAACAAAATTCCGGTGAAGATGTCGCGAATTTAAGTATGCGTCATTGGAGAGACTGGACGACAAATATCAACTAGGCTCAAAGAAGATGAAAGAAGACGAAATAAACTAATTAGCAATCATGAAACTCGACATCAAATCTTATTCGACAAAACAACTTTAGTTCTGCCTCCCTCAGACAATATATAAGTTCTGAACAAGCCATCAGGATGATTGGTGAGACGTCAGCAAATTGGCAACGAATTCCTATTTAGGAGTACCTATCTACACCAATTTCTATTACGTTTCAGTACAATACAATCCTTTAAGCCTGGCTTAATGCTGAACGTCTTTGAAAAATCTCTGTTTACTGATTTAAACAATTTTTCCATTGGATAGCAGAATGCACTAAAATGAATGGATTTTTTAGGCTAAATATTTAGGGAATTCTTTAAGGAAGGGTCAATGAATTCTTCTTCCCTACTACATTAAATCGAATTGGAATTTTTTCAATGTTTATTCTATTAAACTTTGTTTAATTTGATGTTTGGCAATCTCGTTTCTGTTTATTGTTATTGTTATTAATAATGATCCGCGTTTTTGAGGAATATCTTACATGCTCACCTTGGCTGTATATAGAATTAATTAAAACAAAAATCTAACGCAGCCAATTGAGATTCGAAAAATTTCCGAAAAAGAAAACAATGGCGTCTCTCTTTCTCCCCGAACAAACGAATTAAACCAATCCCGGAGCCAAAACAAAGGGTTCCGGTAACCGAACCAATAAAAGCATTAGCGGAAGCGCCGGCGTCCCGACGCCTACGTCGCCTCCCGTCGCTCCAATAATGCGTCGGGGGTGGAGCGACACCGGGCCACCATCGTGAGCTTTCGGTTTATCCACGCATTAGTTTTTCGTCTAACCGCATTAAGTGAAGAAGGGTGACGAGTGAGCACCGTCTGGCACCGAACAAATCGTCGAGGTGAGTAAAAAACTGCACTCACAATAGTCAAAAAATAGTCTCACATTTGAAAAAAAAATGGAAAATCAGTCAAGGGAAAATCATAAAAATTATTTTCATTGGTCGCTAGGGGGGCGTAGTTTTTATCTCGAATTTTAAAACCCTATTCGAAAATCTCTAATGAAGTGAACACTACTTTCAAAAGAGTGTTTTCTTTTGAAAGTAGTGCTTTAATTTTATTTTTGTTTGTTCTACCTCTGCGTAAGGCAGTGTCATGTTTGTAAAATAATTTTTTAAGAATCGAAATTAGAATTCTAAAATAGAAAATGACATTTTGTGTTATATTAATATAACGCGAGTCAACACGAAGTTTGACTTTGATTTTAAAGCATACAATTTCTATATTTTAGGTAGCAATAAGATTTAAAAAAAGTGTCAAAAAGGTTGCTTTTGTAATTAGGAACCTGATTGAACGATAATTTTTAAACTTTTTATAAAACTTTTCCTGTTGGCTTCTTCAGAGGTCGACTGAAACTGGCTCGCGTTTTACTCTGTACCTGCTTATATATTGCTTGAGAGTGGAGGAGCTAAATTATTAGAGAGAAGAGCAGAGGTAAAGGTCTTTTAATTCTGGTTTCAGTGACTCAGATAGTTTTACGGATCTGTAAACAAGAGAGTTCATAACCGTAAACACAATGACCCAATGTTAGGTCTGATTTTCTATTGATGAGAATATCTAAGAATGGAATGGAATGGAATGGAAATATATTTTTAAAAAATTGTGGTTCTAATTTTAAATTAAAAATAAAAGCATCCAATTAAATATGTTTATAAGTTTCAATATAGCAATAACTTACAAAAAAATGGAAAATAATTTCAAAAGTGAACGCTATTACTTTTTCTTTTATGTTCATAAGTACTTCCTCACTACTTGTTGCTCTTTTGAATACGCTCCCATGTGGTATTTAAATTTACCTAGATTTTTAATGGCATCCTGTACTCCATAGGCTCAAAAAGCATATTCAGAACTACCTTTTCGTAGTTTCCTAAACCGCTGCTTTAAAACTGCAATACTATATATATATATATATATATATATATATATATATATATATATATATATATATATATATATATATATATATATATATATATATATATATATATATATATATATATATATATATATATATATATATATATATATATATATATATATATATATATATATATATATATATATACGAAGCTTGAAATTTATGTTTTTATTTTATTGCGAAGATAAGGGCCACGATATTCACAATGGGAGGCAAGTCTTTTGTCAAACTCTAAGAGTTGACATTTTTTCATAAAACATTGGCATACAGTATACACTTTTCAACGTAGTTGGAAATTAAAATGGAAAATAAAGACCCAACAAGCCAGTGGAAACCGTATCTCAAGATCTAATGTATACAAGGTGCCTATAAACAACATTTTAACTTCAAACGGAACACCGTGTATATTAATACTTCATACGTCATCAATTTTCTCCAAATAACTTACAAAGCACTTTTCGTTAAAACCCCTGTAGAAAAATATCCAATCTATAGGCATAGAACTTATTGACAGTAAAAATATCTATTATAAATTATCGAACAGTATTACAACAAACGTAATATAAACCAAATTTACTAATATCAATTATTAAGTAAAATAATTAAGAACAGTATATATTGCCTCCATTTTGGGCAAATGAACTATTCTATGTCGAAAAAACAAAGTAGTTGAAAGTGCCCCATAAGAAAACGTCCAGTAGAGTTGTAAAGTACGTAAACTCTGAGGTATATTTTCGACGTCTTTATAATTATTTTAGTAAGCTCTGTCTGTAAGAATTATTAATTCTACGCATTTTATGTATGACGGCGCGTCTGCTCACTTTAGTGTTGCAGTAAGAGAATGTTTAAATCACACATTTACCAACTGATGGGTAGGTCGCGACGGACCTCAACCCTAGTCCCCCAAATTTAAATATTACAAGATTCAGAGTCCACTTTAAAATATTATACCAGGTGACACAAGAAAGTGTCTTGTAAACTAACCAAAGCTTTCGAACTTTAAATGGCATAATCTAAATTTTTTTGAATTTTTGGATTTTTGCTTTGTTATCTTGCTCGGACGGTTTTTCTCTTTTTCTTGTTTTTTTTTTAAATTTTTATTTAATTTTTGAAAATTGTGTCTAGGATGTTGTGACCATCACAAATACTATTTATCTGGTGGCCTGATCATGGGAAAAATTGTAAATGAAACCTTTCTTTACTTGTCTAATGGCAAATAGCATTTAATGTAATGAACTATTAATTTTTTAGGATAACCTAGTTTTTTGGTTTTTCAAATGGCGCGAAAACTTTTTAAAATTTTTTTTGCAATATTTTGACACCAAAATTTTCAAAATCCGTTAAAAAATAAGCTCACAGGAGGGAAAAAACCAAATAAGTAAATGCATTTTCATAAAAACAAAATATTACTTAGATGGCTTTGCTTCTATCTATTACTAACTGTCAAGTCGGTAAAATTAAAAACTCCAGCATGCCACACCACACAGGAACCTGTCACGGACCCTGAATTTTTACCGGTTGGATTTTATATGGGTTTTCGTTTGCCAAATAATACTTATCGGGATAATCCGTTGAAGAAATTGCCGATATTTCTTGATGGATATCTGACGGGCAATCGATATTTAGTTTTAGTTTAAGATAACATTGACGCCATTGACATACATTAATTTGGCTTGGCAACAAGATGGGGGACCACCCCACAATACCGTTATAGGTACTGAATACCTAAATGACATATGATATGATCATTGGATAGCACAACTCAGTGACCGGCTAATAGCCCATATTTAAAAAAAAAAACAAGTATACGATTATCGAGCCAAAGAATTGAAACAGAAATATTCTGGCACATAAATTGGGATATAATATTATAAAGCATATAGCCATTTACTTCATGTTATATTTTCATTATTGTTCGTTAAACGTCATTGTTATTGTTTGTTGTTGTTCATATTATAATCTTTAGGATTTTTAGTTTTATTGGTTAATTAATGCTTATTGAAATAGAAAAGACGAAGTACTTGAAGTTTTTCTTATACTTCAAACGTAAATAATTCGAGAACTGCGTATCCAAATCATGGGAAATGGTCTTTCGTAGTAATAGAAAATATATAGGGTGTTTCATTTAAAAATAAAAAACTTGCTACCGTTTCTCAACTTTGCGATGGGCATTTGTTTCCTTTTGCAAGTCCAAAAGGTAATACTACAAAAATTATACAACTCTTGTATTAACAGTTTTTCTCGGTGCCTTCCGCTAAGTTGGGTGCGCGAATATAAAAAATAACCGTCCGAACTCGCGCTCCGCTTGTGTTTAAGCAAACCCATGACTAAACTTTACGCCCTTCATTTGAGTATGTTACTAGGATTAAAATATTTCATTTAACTTTAAGTCAAATAAGTTATTATCTTCACATTATAAATGTGTCAAGCGATTATTCCTAAATGTTAGATGGCTGGTCCGTATTTGTCCTCTCTGCCTGGCGACCTTCTCACTGAATACATGTTCGGGCGAAGACGGCAGAGGCGGAACAGGACGACTTTCAGTCCGCAGCAGCTCCAGGAGTTGGAAGCGTTGTTCCAGAAGACACATTATCCAGACGTTTTTCTCAGAGAAGAAGTCGCTCTAAGAATAAGCCTATCCGAAGCCAGGGTACAGGTGCGAATCAAACACCTTCATCGATAGTCCCGCTAGCTACCGAGATTTGGTTTCAGGTGTGGTTTCAAAACAGGCGTGCGAAGTGGCGGAAACAAGCCAGGCTGCAGTTGCTTCAAGACGCGTGGAGGATGAGATGTTTGGGCATCACGTCTCCCCAATTAATACTACCAGGTAATTTTTTCTTCCAACACTTCAGGCAGTAACAGTTAACTTACAGGGTGGTCCATTTAAGGTGCTCCTATACCTTATCTCAAAAAGAGGAAAAAAAGTTAAGTACATAGCCTGGAAGTTTTTGAGAAAAATAGGTATTTGGAAAAATGTGTTTTTTTACACTTGAGCTCTAAAATTGGGAAATATTATACAGGGTGGCCACAAATGAAATTCAGAAAAATGTTTTTTCTAGTTAAAAACTCAGAATGGGACACTGGAAAATTGGAAACTCGTGTATTTTATTTTAGATCCAACTAATCCTATGTAATATCCTATTCCAAGTTTTTTCAATATTAATTGATTTAATTCAATATAAAGTCAACATGTAATGCAAGTACTAGCTAAATTTATGTTTAATTTAAGTAATTAATGTCTAAAGAAAAACTTAGTAAGAATAAGATGTTAAATACACGAGTTGCTGCAGAAAATTGTCCACAACTTCAATACTACCCATTTTTGTAATAAAAACTGATACAGAATTGAATCCCAAACCTAATAACAGCGCTAACTACAGGGTGTTCTATTTAAAAAAAAAAAACTTTTTTTAATAAAAACAAATTCAATTAATTTACCATAGGAGTTCCAAATTTTAAATACATTTTTTCAAAGACTTGTTTTTCCGCAAAAAAATGTGAAAGTTCATTTTCCTGAAAAACTACTCACAATTTCGTATGCTATGTAATAAGAAAAAATACTCAAAATCAAGCGAAGTTTGTTACTGTCTTGGTATTACGGAACACATTGTATACATAAAAATACTATAAATAAAATATATAGTTAGGGTGAAACACTTATTTTATTTAACTTTTTTGGTCAGTGCCATACTTCTTCAGATAAGGTATAGGAGCATCTTAATTGGACCACCCTGTATATAAAATTGAGTATCTCTGGGTAAAGTAAAACAAGTACTATAAGTTGAACTGAGGTGCCTTTTACTTGATGAAAATCCGTTTATCAAAATAAATAAGAACTAATAGTTCAGATTTTCACGAAATTATGTATTATGACATGACATTTGATAAAGACACGGTGTTGTCGTTTCATATTTGAATTTGCCAGAACATATTGTATTCCTGACAAAATCGGAGAGCTTGACTTGCTCAATATAAGAAACAAACACGCACGTCTTTTTGCATAAGGTGCTTTACTTTCCCAATGTAGGCCAAAAAACCAAGAGAAAAGCTGCCTTCATTAAGCGGACTGATTACACAGAAAGTGGTCTAAAATGGGAGTCGTTAAAAATTGTCAAAAATAACAAAAACTAACTTGCCGTATGCCACGTTTTTACATTGCCTCCTTCTCAATGTATATTTGGTGTGGCCTCAGTGCAAAATATTTTTTAATAAAAATATTGTAAGTATCTGTTTGAGAGAAAGCCCTCCAGACTATTACTAAAGAAACTTGAATCAATTGTATGACAGATACAGAAAATATAGTAAAAGATTACTGGGAAAAAGAGGTACCACCACTTATTTATGTAGACTAAGGATTATTTTCTGATAGTAGCGGTCCATATTTTGGCTCTGATGATACAGTAAATTCAAACTACTTATAAATACTTGCATACAAGTACAACTGGTTGTTACTCGCACGTAATATAATCGTGATCGTTAGTGACTACTGTCTTGCATTGATCAGATAGACATTTAGGGTGGAACTACATCTGTGGGCATTATTTTATTGCTGGCTATGCCATCACAAATCGTACCGACTATAGAAATCAACTTTAAATCAAAACTAAATAATTATTTAGTAGAAAAATGTTTCCACAAACTTGAAGAGTTTTTGTATATTATATACACTTTTTTAGATGTCTTAGCTTTAAGTATTTTTGTACATTTTGGTAACAATTCTTATAAAAATTGAACTGAACTGAAATGTAGAGCAATATTTGTCATTTTCTTTTGCGCGCTGTGTTACGTACAATAATGCAATTATCAAACTTGTAATGCATCAGCTGACTAATTCGTTCACCATAAAAGTTTAAATTCAATTCTCAAAAAGTCTTAATGATTTTAGGTAGACCCGCGGCCGTACCGCCGATGGAACCCGGCAAAGAGCTATCCGACAAGCTTCCCGAGTTCTCCCCAATGGCACCCATTAACCCGACGTCTTTTCCCCTTCGAACTCCCTGCCACTATTCTCCAGGAGCTGAGTCGACTAGTCCGAATTCGCTGAGAAGCTCACCGAGTCCTACCGACCTTTCGCCAGGTGTACCGGATGACTTGTCGATGACCAAATCTACAGCCGTTAACGACGCGTCATCGCCCAACGTCGGGAAGAATTTGGATGGTACTTTGACGGGTAACGATAATGGCGCTCCGTCTACTACGACGCAGGCGTAATTGAATAGCTGATTTATTTTTGATAGTCACTTAGATAAGCTTTATTACTTAGAAGTACGTGTTAACTTGTATTAGATAAAGAATTTATCTACTTGATCGCTGGTTTAATTTGGGTAATAATTGTGCCGAAGAACCTATGGATCAAAATGGCAATAGCAGCAAGCACGCTCTTCTAAAACATAAGAAAAAATACAGAACTTATTCATTAAAAAAAAGTTGCCCAAATGTACGTTTCAGACAAAAAAGTTTCATTGAATCTATGAAAAATTTCAACAAATATCCAGCCGGCTCAGAAAGAAGTGAACATTGGAAAGGGATAAAGATAGTAACCTAAGGACTGTACTAAAAATCAAAGAAAATCCCATCACGAATGAGGAGTTTATTGTTAAAAAGGTCTCCATTTTTTCAACATTACTTTAAACGGTAATGGTATTCTAAATTTTTTTCGGAACGAATTACAAAACTATATGGTTGACCTCTAAATGGAACAATAAAACGGACCACCCAATATTCCTGATCTGGCGCCGATGGATGCACTTATATAGGGAAATATAAAAGATTGCAAAAAGGCAAATACCATCGAAAACAGCGGACATCTAAAAAACCTGATTGGAATAAAAGTTCAAATTCCAAATAAAGAATATTTCCATCACTGCCGCTTTATAAAGATTTCGGAGAACGTAGAAGAAGAAGAAAAGGCAAGAAGTGTGTTCAAAAAGTAGTTTCACTGTTAAGATTTATCAAAAAGTGTGATATTTTCTTTATCTTGAGTTTTGGGAACAGGAAAAAGTCACAGGGCGCCATATCCGGTGAATATGGTGGCTGAGGCATGATCGTGGTTTTGATTTTGGTCAAAAAGTTGGATACAAGCACCAATTAGTGAGCAGGGCATTATCCTTATGGAAAATCCATGAATAGTTTTCCGATAAATTTCGCAATGATATCTAAACTTCTAATGGACGGTCACCGTAGGAAACCTGTATATTTGCGGTTTTCCGCAGATAGGTACCTCCCACGCAGATGTGAACTTTAAATTAAGTGTCATAAATTAGGTCTATCGGTAAAATTTCGTTATCAATCCGATTGCCTAAATAAACAAATCGAAGCGATAAATCATAGCTTTCCGTGATACGGCTTTATCAATACCACAATTTTCGTAGCGTAGATCCCACTATAGTTACGATTAAAGAAATATACCGGCTTTTGCACGTTTGTTTATATCAACAAATTTTTGCGATGCTGGGCAGAATCAAAGGTAAGAAAAACTCAATACATTTTTCAGTAAGAGCGAAATCGTGGAAGCTGACCTCACAACAACCGTTTCTCTCTACCAACGATGTTATTTTCAGATTATTGCTATTTTATGGCATGGTTTTGCATCCTGGAACATTTCCGTTGCAACTGGTATGGACGACTTAAGTGCATTGATAGATTCTTGATCTACTGCTGATAGGCCTTATTATAATTATTTGAGGCTTGCGAAGCTGCTGTGCGATGGTTTTATTTTACCAACACGTTTTTACAGTGTTTGATAAATATGTTCCCAAAAAGACACTAACAAAATAAAAAATTCAGAAGATAAGAATAATTTCTGAAAATCCAAGATTAGAAATTTTAAATCAAATAAAAAGATTGGGTCGCATCAGTTTAATATGTTACAATTCCCATTGTTTGTACTGATTGGTTTTAATATTAATAGCATATTGCTCTAGTGTCTTGTGGAAATGTCCAGTTGGTGCTGAGATTTGCGACGCCCAAGGGGAACAATTTGATGCGAAACAAAACTTATACGTCCTTCTCTGTCGAAATGAATCCAGACAGCACTCTCCCGGATTAGCAAAGCGTCTCATTAATATCGATATTAGGTAAGCCAAATTATTTTGTTATACTTAGACCAGAACTATAGTGCTTTTACAACCGACCCCGTCATTAAGTTTGCCTACTGTTTAATATTCCGAAACCGCAGCAACTTATAGAACACCCTGCCGAGCAGACCCTTACCCGAAACCATTCCAGGACCGTCCTAGGAATTTATCTAACTACACCAATAACCGGGGTATAAGTATTTTTTTAACATTTTTCATTCTTGAAACACGTGCATAAAAATATTAGTACAAAGTAACAATTCATTACGAATTTATTATAAAATTGTAAACATTCAAAACAATTGTTACAATATGATATTATATAGGTTTATTTGGATTTAAAATAAAATTCACTGATTGTTTCTAATAACAGCTCTATAGATGAAATGACACAGAATTAAATACCAAATCCAATAAAAGTACCATACACAGTTAAAAAATTCAGTTATTTTAAATATAAACCATTTTTCGATGCACATTTCATCCTGCATAATATTTTAACCATGGATGGGTCCATATTTTAGTTTTCAAGCCCAAAAACGGTAAGATTCATTTTTCTCAAAAACTACTCGAAATTTCGCTAAGCTCACTATCGTATAAATACTTTCAAGAGCATGTGATAACATGGAAACTATAATTAAATACCCTGGAAATCCATGCTATGGACACATAGGCGATTACTTTCTGTTATTGTTTTACTTAAAATTTACAAAATTTCACAACTAGACTTTTTATGCCGGAAAGGACTTGACTACAACTTCAAAGCTTCAAGAACGAGAAACAAATTTCAAATTTTCCGTTCTACGGTACTCTCATCTATCCACGGTACTGATATACAATTAATTTGTGTTCTAAAATCATATAAACTGCTTGCAATATTTCATCAGCTTCATATTTGTAAACAGTACTCAGATGACGCGATTCACTTGAGGTTTCATAAATCTCAAGGTAGATGGCGCCCGGGTTATATAAATTCAAATTAAATTTTAAACACAAAAGTTATCGGACAGGAATTTAGTGTTGACTTAAAGCATGAAGCAAAAAAGTGTGAAGTTTCTTAGTTTGATCGTAGAAATAAGAATTTATGAGGTAAGAATTAGTTTAAATCATTTTTTGCGAGAAAAAAATTGAGAATTTATAGACAAATTTTAGAAATGGACATGACACGTTACTGACATTTGGCTGATATATGTATTTTAGGTTCCCTCTGAATGAGAAATTTAATTATATACAAAAATAATGAATCATGTACATTAATACAAAAATTTAATAACTAATGAGAACAAGCAAAACAAGACGTAAAGATCACAGATAAAAAAGAATCAGCCACATTTAGTTTACTGTTTCTGTTAACTGTTCAGGAGTTCGGGTATTAAGTTTTCAATAAAATACTTCTAGGCTTTATTTTTGAAAAATTGGACTTCCCACGTTTCTAATTGAAACGTGGAAATGAAAAAATGCCAAAATTTCATTTTTGAACTTTTTGAACAAGCGAGTGCAAAAAGTGTACATTTATGATCACATTACATCCCATTTCCCTAAATTTTATATAACATCTTGAAGTAAGTATTCAAAAAAAACCACGGTTGTCTCTCATTTGCATTTTCGGTTGATTCTATTTGATTTCAACCTGTTATCGGAAAATTTCACTACCTAAGATGCAGAAGAAATCCAAATTATTGAAAATAGTACTATCTTTGATAGGGGGCACTTGGACATGGATAAATTCGGTGCAGAATGCAATTTGTAATAATAGTCCGCTGTCTTTTTCTCCGCAATTCAAGTTAAAGATCTTCATTAAAATTTCATTTCCTCTTTTTAAATAGTGCAATCATAATTATCATAATGATATTAATTATATTAATTATTATCATAACTATATTAAACCAAATTTACAATAAAACTGCAGTTTGTTATGTTTAGCGGAATATTTGGTAATTTTTGCAGAAATGCGAAGATATTCACGATTTGGACAGTTGAATCCGAGACAGCGGGAAGAGGTGGAGACTTGCAAGCAATGGTCGCCAATTTTAGAAATATTTTTAACGGACATGCGTCTACTAAGTGCATGGACGACGCCTATGAACTGATGATCACGATTCAACCGGGGAGCGAATCTGATGAATTTGAATTCAATTCTGACGAAAGCTACAGCCTTGTGATACACACCGATGGTAAACATTTGTAAAATTTAATTTTATGTTAATGCTATACAGGAGATTCGGAGTTACATGCATTGCTCGAATCTGTCTATAAATTTTTGCCACGTTTATGGGTTTTCCCCTAAGCTACAACACATTCTTATTTGAAATAGAATGGATATGTTTTTATTCCATTTTTGAATCACTCGTAGAGGATAAGTATTTTTCGTGTAACGTACTCTATACCCAAAGCCAGCCGTTTTAAACTAGAATTTAATTAATGAACGACATAATTATTGATGTCAAGCAATTGGAAAACTTAAATAACCATAAAAACTATTGAAAAACAAAAAAAAACTGAACTGGATAGAGCAAAATCGACTTACATGTCAAAGGCTGGATTTTATATTTAAAACCGCATGGAATTATCTTCACTGCCAACCGAGATCTATGGCGTTTTTTAATATTAGGGACTTTTGAAAATTGCCCATAACTTTTTAATTTATGAAAATTTTGAATTCGGATAAATGCATTATTACGGCATTTTTAACGCAAATGCATTGGCGCACTTAGATTTTTTCTGCAGTTTTCCATGTTCCCATAAATGAATACAACTTTCTTATTTTATGTAGCAAATGCCTTTGTCGAGCCCTTTTCGGCCATATAGATCTTTTAATCTCCCCCATAAAAAGATCACACGATATCGCAGTCCACAGAACAGGGCACCTAGTTCGAATCCAACATTATCCAAACTCTTTATTTAGCTCTTCATTTCACTTACAATCCTTACGTTGGGAGCGGGGCAACTATCTTGCTGATAATAAATACTCTTTCAAAGAATTAATGGCAAGTCTTCCAAAAATGGAACAGCACGTCTTCTAAAAATATTGATATAACCATTAGCAGTCAGATTTTCATTAATTTTGATTTTGATCTGGCTTCATCACTCCGAACAATAGACAATGAAAAATTAATGTTCTCATTGCATTTTCCGATAAATCAGTTGCAAAATTGTATTCATCTATTGTAACCATATGCTTGGATTTTTGGATTTTCCAACACTTCTCCAATTATATTCAATTCCCGGATTTTCTGTTCTCCATGTAAGTGGTTTTAATTTTGCCTTTTTGAAACTCCCGTAATTGATTAAATTATTTTTCAACTTCCGAAAAAGTCGCTTCTCTAGTTGGTGACGCTCTAAATATGAATTAAAATAGAGTTCATTGGCTGCCTTTGCGTTTCCGTTCGACAAAATGTAACACTGTATCAAATTATATTTTTCATAATTTTGGTACATTTTAAATTGCCAAATGAACTAAAAGTTTAGGTTTGGTCACTAAAATTATGTGTAAAAGAATAAAAGTTATGTCCTTAAGTGACATTGGCAGCTACATGCACGGCCTACTAATACAAAAACAAAGAATGCCCTATGTCTCTGCCCTTCTTCATCACCATACCAACAAATCTATGTGGCCGAAAAGGGCTCCGCAAGGGAATTTTTTTAAGTTGTTGTATTCATTTATGAGAAAACGGAGAAGTGTAAAAAAAATATGAGTACGTCACTACATCAAAACGAAAAAAATTATGTTTTCATCCACTTTTCAAAAGGGCGTAAAATTACACCCTATATCTTTGTTGGTAGTGAAGATATTGCCATGCTGTTTTAACCATTTAAACGTTTCTCAAAAGTAGGTTTTGCTCGATCTAGTTCAAAAATAGGTTTTTCCTTTCAAAACCCCATCTCCAAAGTTTGATAGGAAACTATATACACAAGACCTCAAGATTAGTCAAATTTTTAAATAACTACATTACTAAAGGGCCCTTTTTATCGGAACAATAAATTTGTAACATAAATCTAAATCAAAAATGTACAAGGCGTTTCTGTGAGCTTGAGTTTAATATTTTATAAATACATTTTTCATGTGGCGTTGATTGGTTTTGGTTAATTTCACTGGTTTGTCAGAATTATTGTATCTTTTCTGACATTTCTGGCGAAATTATAGTTTCTCTAATTTTTGTTTACGTTTTTGGTGTACAGGGTTTTAGTTTTCCCCTTCGATATGATGTTTTAATTACCACAATTTAATAAAAAAATATTAAACGCACGCCAAAGTCTCCGTCATTATCAACAACAAATTCACTTTTATTGTATTGTATTTTGCAGATCGCACCGAATACGTTAAAATAATAATTACCGCACCTACAATTGCTGGCGCGACATATGCTATGGCCACTTTAACAGAGCTGATTTTGACGTATCAACAAAACAACCAAACCTGCCATGCTATCATCGGCGATTGTCGCATCATTCAGACCTTCGGGCAGCAAACGCAAAGGTAGTAAGTTTCTACGATTTTCTGAAGTTCCCAATCAGTTTCTTTCCCTTCTCTGACTGCAACTGCGTCTTCCCTTCCACCACTAGGCAATAGACAATTAATAAAAAAAGAAATAATTGAGAAGCGTCTACACCAAAAGTCACCAACAAGGTGCAATTAATACCACAAATACCACATACGAAAAGCAACTGGTATTCTCAAAAACAAAGAAGAAAAAAAAGTAGCAAGACTGATAATAACAAGCATATGGAAAGTGTACGAAGATCGAGTGCAATGCAATGATTATTCATCCAAAATAAAACTTTTTCTTCATTCGAAAAAGTAGGCATTAATTTAATTGACGTTTTACTGTCACAATAAATAACATTCACAGCCACCTGAACTTTTTAATAATAATATTAACAGCCGAATAGGAGCAACAATTTTCATTTTGCATGCTATCAAATGGATAGTTTGAAATAATTTATAATATTGCCATGAAATTTTGACAGGGAATGCCGTTATTTTATATTGAGAGATACATGAATCAGCAAAATCTACTTGAAAAACTGCCATGCTATTTCCAATTCTGGTCACTTTGAATAACACTCAATGGTTCATCACATGTCATTTTCGCAATTGCTGCTTTTTGGAAATTTTTTAATTTCCTTGTCACAAATAATTAAAATTACCATAAAACATAAACTGTTTGCTATAGAATACAGAACAAACAAATGTTTCAAGGTACTTCAAACCCACGAAATTTTTATTATTACCTGAAAATAGGAAGTAAGTTATTTGTTATTTTTTAAGTTCAACAGCACACAAAAGAAGAAGTCATTCAACAAATTACCAAGTGCATTTAAAGTTTGTCGGTCTTCAACTTGCAAATGTTTTTTAGGCAGTTTATTCTTCTTAAATATCGTTTCAGTTTCAGAGATCTGTGACCGGCGACTGGTGGTGATGGTGAACGCAACAAAATATTTGACTATTGTTTGTTTCGAATAATAATTCTGTAATATGTAACAATAAAGAATAAGAAGATGAATTTGTTTCCGGAAATTAAGATCGCATAAAAGATCATGTTTATTTAAATTTTCCTCAAAGCAAACATGACATCTATTCAGTGAGTGCCAGATCAACTAACACGGGGTAACCCCTTAAGAATTTTTACCCAAATATTTTAAATACAAAAGTTGTTTTTATAAATGTGTTGGATGTAATAAAATTAGTTATGGTGGAGGGACATGCCGAGGCAAAGACAGGCCAAGGAATTCCTAAGGGGCCCATCGGCCAATTGAGCTACAATAGAAAAGCCGTAAGAATAATGGTAGGTCTGCTCCCTATAGCTATGGAGAGAGTCACAATAGATCCTCTGGGTCGCAGTGACGGACAGGCTGACTGCTAGCTCTCCCAACTGTTAATCTAATATAATCTAATAAAATTAGTTACCATAATTCACCCTGTATGTTATTTAAGTTTTGGATTATTGAAGATTCCCTATACTTAAAAAAAAAGGAGACAATACAAACCCACTAAAGAAATCTTTTAAGGCTGGGCACCATTAATTAATATATTATATTTCTCACGAGCTTGTAGCACCACCAAAAATTCACAATTAAAATTGTTACCTAACTAACACATTTTGTCTTAAGTTCCAGTAGATATAAACAATATAATAATCGATCCAACAAGATAAAATCGTCAATTACATCAAAACAATTTGAAAAAAATCCATTTAAAGAATAAATTAATTTCAATTTTATACATATTATTTTATTCGTTTTTTTATACTGACTAGTAAATACATATCACGAAAACCCATGAAAATGGTGCATAAGTTTTGTAAGTAGTTTTCCGTTATCCAAATTTTACTTTTCTTTGAATAAATTTAAAGAATTAAATCTTCGGGCATATATATAATTCATACGTTGGGAGAGCACCGTTTTCTTGATTTTTTTCTATTTGATCCATTAGAGGAACAGATGAACCTCCCCAGGCTGTTATACTGTATCTAATATTTCAACAATTGCATTGTAGAGCAGTTTTAATTGTGCCAGATCGAAGGCAAGAACTTGAATCTAGCCAAAAAAGCCATAATCTTTTTCACAACATATGCGATCTGAACATCCAACTTTAGGTGACAATGCAGACATATACGTAGATACTTTATATGTAGTTTGGATTTTATATGGACAATTTTTTGATTGATAGCAAATCTTACTATATTATAAGTAGGGATATTTTTGGCATATGATGTAAAGGCTACAATGTTTTTTAACAATTTACAGTCAACAATATAGTATCAACCTAACTCGATGCAATTTTATATTCCTATTCAGTGATTAAGTCAAACTCTGTCAAGTTTACTGCACTATACGCTTCCTTTGATGTTTAACTTGAAAAGCCCGTTAATATAAATATCAAAGAGTATAGGGCCAAGTGCGGCACCTTGTGAAACTCCATATTTTAATTTTAATATTTTAAATTTTGACACATGGTTTTCGATTATTTAAGTACTTTGCAATGCGGAATGCATCTAAAGCCACTATCGCACAGACAAGCTAAAAGCTGTGCATGGTCAACTGTATCGAATGCTTTAGCTGAATCACGAAATATATATGAGCTGTTTTGTCATCCATACACCCTCGACCTTTTCTCTCTAAAACCATACTAATTTTTCGACAAAATTTTATACTTTTCCAAGTAATCTACTAGTAAGTGGAAACAATGATCTTTCAAAATTGTCAATGGGAATTAAATCATATCCATCTGCAAAACTTTGTCTTTCTAAACACGACATCCTGTATATTATGATACGTTTAGGTGCAGAATTTAATTTAATTAAGAATTGTTGCAGCTTTGAATATGGCAGCAGGGATTTTTTGATTGATGCTTTGAAGTCTGATTTTCTGGAAAAATAGGAAACGCGTTGGAAAGGGCCAAAAGGAAAGGATCAACGAAAACAAATTGTTTGCAGCTTAGGGAACCTTGACTGTAAATACATAGACGATTACACTGGCCAACAATTTTTAAGCTTCTTTCTTTCAAAGAAACTTTAGTTTTAGTCAAGCTCTGAAGAAGCATTAGCAAGTTCGAGTAAAAAAAAACCGTGGCAGGAGAAACCCAAAATTTTTGTAAAAAGTAATTTTTAAGTTTTTGAAAGTTGATTTCTAAATTTAAATCCTATTAGCATCATATTAAAGGAATTATTGAACGAAAATCTCGGTTGATTTAATCATAATTTTTATTAATACATAAACCGCTTTAAACGACAAATTCTCAAACAATAATTAAATACACTTATTTTTGGAAGTTCTCCCTCTTGGCCGAAAAACTTGGTTTAGTGGATTTTCCCGTATATTCTATGGTCGGATTGTGCCTTTTCAATGACATCGACCTTGATATCTGCCTCCTATTTCCATTGTTCCTTATTCATCACTCACGGCACCAAGATTTTTGGGAAAGTAGTCCAAACGTAAGTGTAAAAAGTGTAGATTTTTATTCATATTCACTCATTTCACTAAACTCCATGTTAGAGTCTTCTACAAGTTCTTTGTAATTTTTATATTTGATTAATATAAAACCTTTTATAACACCAGTAAAGACAAGCTTTTCAGATTCGACCATAAGTTCCATCTTTTAATTTTGCATCTGAGAGAGCCGGAAATTTTCTAATAGGGATTCAAGACATGCTTTATTTGGAACTTTAACGTATTACTTCAACAGTTCTAATTTAATATGTTACGGTGTATCGATAAGACTATCGTGAAGAATATTTTTGGATCCGGGAGTTGAATTAACCCTTTCTGATTAGTTCTTTTTCACCCAACATTGCATTGTCTGTTTTTACTGTCCCACTCTCACAAAAAACAGGGGCACTTCATATATCCTGACCGCTGACCTAATAGAAGTACCACAATTTTTAAGTCACTATCAATGATCGAAGTTACAGTCTTGTATTTGCTTTTTCCAACCAGATTTTCATTTGCACAGAATGAGCAACAGCTACAGAAGCAAGAATATTTCAGTTGTGCAAAACAACAGCTTTACTGCTTCTCTTGGATGAGTCAGTGAAAGAATTGTATTTCAAATTCGTTTATTAGATTAGGAATATCGGTACAATTCTGTTTCGCGCTTCCCGATATATGAGATTTTGGAAAGGTCCTTCGGTAAACTTAGGTTTCTCACTTAGTCATTAAGTTCTGATTATGAGAACAACTGTCGATACTGAGACGCAATCCATATGTTACCAATGATACCAATAATGTGTTTCCTGAGTGTTACAAGAAATCCATCCTAATTCCCTTACCTAAAATTTCGAACACTAAAGAAGTCTCAAGCTACTAGAAAGAATTGTCGATGAGCTCAGAGATTTTATTAATATTTACAAAGAACATTTTACCTTCTACTCAATCGGGTACCTCACTTTTAGACATAAGTGATGTAATATTCCGTGTACCGATAGGGGAGATAATACCTGCTTAATATTGTTAAATTACAGTAAAGCGTTTGCTGTTTGTTAAACTCAAGCACTTCAGCTCCATACACCTTTTTCAAAATTACTTCAAAAGAAGATAATATATCAAAGTCTACAAAGGTGTCGCTCAAGGTGGTCGCCTGTCTATACCTCAGTACTCAACTACACTAGTCCTTTCAATACCTGGAAGCTAAAGCTCTTGAAGCTTTGAGTCTAGTCTCACGGGCTCTTAATTAAGGAAAATAAAACGCAACTTATTGTTTTCTGCAAAAGTAGACTACGTATTCTAGTTAATGACCTACCGAATAAAACTTTAAACAACTTTGACATGTTCATGACGGGTCGACTCTCTTATCCAATCTATCCTGCTTCCAGTGTTTATTGGCCTGCTCTCAGACAAACAAAATGAGTTTGCAAAATTCCAAATCACATAATCTTTGTTGGCTTGTGCTGGAGGATCCAAAAAGGAATAAAGTAAATGGCGACTAGTGAATATTTTGTAATAAAAATTACGGGCAAGACATACATTAACAATAAAGGCAGTGTAACGTGATCGAAAAAAACAATCGAAAATCATCGGAATCTTTCAAATTCCACTTAAAAAAGTGCCTCGAGAGTGTATTCTCATGATAAAAAATGAATAGATTTTATGCGTGTCAGTGATAAACGTATTCTTAACTGGAAAGCCACTCCTATGTTCTTAATTATATTATTAATATTATTAGCTTTTAAAAATGATGAAAACGTTATTAAATTCGACATGGAGGACGTAGTCAAATCCGGCCCTGGCAGGGTTTGCGGAAAGACTACGGAATGAAGCGTCGGGATAAGATTAGTGTATCACTTGATGTTTTGCTGTGTTTCAAACTGGTATTACAACAGCTAAAGAATAATTTATCACGAATTTGAATGATTTCTGTATGTACAAAGTAACTCGATAGATAGCAGTTATTGGTCGGAAAGGGGTAAGTACTAAGATTTTTCAAATATTTTTTTGTGAGGTGACACCTGGGTACGTGGAATTATTTTTTTTACCTGCACCAGGTTTACAGCTAATTATACGTCAAGTGGTTTTCACCTGGCATTACCTTCGCATGAATCAAAGATTTATACTTAATTTGGAGTCCTTAATTCGTATACCTACAACGCACAAAACCAAATAGGGAAATTAAAAAAATTCTTATCAGAATATAAGTTATTTGACCAAGGGTTTGAAAGTTTATAGTTGTAATTATTTATTTGATCAATTATCCATATGGGAACGACCATGCAAATTATCCTACCGCCCTGGTATGGATACCCACATACACTATGGCGAGAGGTATGGTGTCTTAAATACTTTGTGATGTAGGAAAATCAACTAAGTTTGTGACTCCCTTCAATAGATTTAAAATCTTTTAAGTACCGACAACATAGATTTTTCTAAATAGGACAGTCTGACCATTACGTTACACAATAGTCAAAACATGGTTATAAAAAATGCAGTAGAAAACTGAAAAAAAAAACCGAAAAATCTCTACAGCAAATTCTGCAGATGCTTAATTCTTATATTTAATTTTATACCTATAATAATTTAAATCTATCATGTTATCGGATATTGAATTATAATATAATAAAAAATTATGGTATGGTATTCCGATAAGAAGACATTATTAGGAAAAATTTAAAATCTGATTCTATTTTCTTAAGCTATACTCACTGCGCACACATTGGTTTTGAATATTTTCAATTCTACACTTACTTTGTTATCTAAACAAAAACCGTATACACAATTACAATAATTAAAATTTGATTACTGTATAATGGCCATTGACATATGCTTTCTAAGTGTTCCTTAAATACTGCCCCGCCATCAAAACAAATAAATAAACAAGCTCTTAGCTAATGAAGTTCAGCACTGTGCCGTCATTTAAAAAAAAATTTCATCCTACTCATATTATTTTTAATTCCAAAAATAACACTGATGATTTTCTGGGGTTTAACTTAAGATTATGGCAAAAGGTCATCCCCATCAAAACAATAATTAATGTGTGTATCGTCAGCAAATGCTCAAATTTTACAGAAACTTAACAATTTTTGAATGTCTGAGCATAATTACGACTGATTCCAAAATTTGGTGCTTGAGGATATTATTTTCTATCTCTTATTCAGATATAATGATATGAAAGTAAAGAAATCATCAGAGAACCATAATATTTTAGGTATAATATTACCAGTTGATGATTCATTGTATCTAAATCCTTCACAAAATTTTCTCTCACTTTCTTACCACAAGCTCGAAAAATATGATTCAAGCTTGGGTCCCAGTCTCCTTTTAAGATGCTGGAAGAATGCTTATCAAACGGAGATCAGTCAAATACTTTTAATATAACTCCTGTATTTTAGAAATAATTGGTATGGCACTTATAAACAAGTTTATAGAACAATTGTGGCATACGATAATTATATAACAATATTTATCATTTTACAAAATCATTACATAACAGTTTTTTCAATGACGTCAAAAGCTTTGAAGTCATACAACCTAAAGCAATTAACTTGTCAATGTCATAAATAAATAATTCGAGAACCGCAGGCATCAGACCGTCGGATCTCACTGCTACTGCACTGGCTGAGCTCCAAACAGCCATCTAATTATCAACGCTGTCGAAAATTTAAAAAAAAAAAAAACAGTTACACTATAGTTGCTCAGAAATTCGTAGCGAAAATGGGTTTTTGAAAAAGATATTTCGGAAAAAGGTTTGTCACTTTCACTTTTGAACGACTTGCATAAACACCAATTATGTTCAAAATTGCATTTGTAACGAAGCCTATCGCATTAAAATATACAAAATAACAGGTATTTGACTTGATCCTATCGACAAGTCGAGTGTTTATAGTAGTTTCGTTTTTTATGGGTGTCGAATATTCCTAGTGTCAAGGAACTGTAGACCATTAATAGACACAGGATCGTACTGTCGTCCAAACTGTTATTGTTTTCACGTCGATGAATCTTAATGCTATTGACTAATCATCTCTTTCGAGTTTGAATTAAGAAATGCTATAATCCAGGATGTCTTTAGAGGATGTTGTGGAAGGTGAATAACAGTTGTATAATGCTTATTTTTTTCATTTCAACGTTAAACTTTTCAAATTTAAACAAAATCATATTAAGTGCAACAGCAGCAGTGGGAATAGCGGCGCATGTTAATAACAACATAATAAAGGGAATTAAAATATTCTAGAGAAAACTTTCTACAAAAGAAATATGGAACTCAGCGGGAGAGATATAAGCATAGAAAAAGTATAACTGTGTTGAGGGTGTAGTAGAAACTGCAAGAAAGAGAAGTGTGCAAAAGGAGAGAAGAGAGAGATTGCTCGAGTGAGGAGATATTAATCTGATTTGTAAAGAAATAGAAATGTTTGGCGGCTTAAAAGTTTATAAATATATTTTGCTTTTATATTTTTTGTGGAAAATACAAGAAGGTGAAAATTTATATACAGTATAACAACGTAGGATACTAAAAACTAGCTAACCTTTCGCCAATCATCCTGTTGGCTTCATCAGAGCTTGAGTGAAACTAGCTCGCATTTTACCTGCCATACCTGGTGCCATGTAGAAACCTGAGTCGCTGTTAGGATTATTAGGTTGCTTATAGATTTCTAGAGACTCTTGGATTTTCCGCTGCTGATGAGTTTATTTGTTGTAGTCTTAAATGCAGAAAACAAAATAGGGAAATTAAAAAAATTCCTATCAGAATATAAGTTATTTGACCAAGGGTTTGAAAGTTTATAGTTGTAATTGTTTATTTGATCAGTTTGAGCCTAGTTAATATTTCTCGTCCGGTCTCTCCGATGTATTCTTTGCCGCGTATGCAGGAAATGTAAACTGTATACAAATGGAATTTTATCCTTGACGGATCGAAGATGTTGAGAGATTTTTGGACTAGTGGTAAATCTGGTTTGGAAGTTATATTTCTTTTGAACTTTTGATATGTAGTCAGTGATGTTTTGAATATTATTTCGGTTTCATTGCTTGTGGTGTATTTTGTGATGGAAGGTTTAATATCGTTAATGTTTTAATCAAATGACTTGGACTGAGATAGTTTTACGACTCTGTAAGCAAGCGAGTTAATAACCGATGATTTTTGGGCCGGATGATGATGTGACCATGCATTAAGGTATCGGTCTGTGTGCGTAGGTTTTCTGTAAACACAATGACCCAATATTAGGTCTGATTTTCTATGGGTATGAATATCTAAGAATGGGAGGTTGTTATTAGTTTCTATTTCAATGGCAAAACATATGTTAGGGTGGATACAGTTTAAATGTCTAAGAAAATCTACTAGGAACTTTCTTCTCAAAGGCTTCCATAAATATATTCGCGATGATTGGTGATAGTGGAGCTGTTCCTGACATTTGTTCAATAATTTTACCGTTATAGGAAAAATATGTTCCAGACAAGCATTTTTCAATTAAGGTGAGAAGGTTTGGTTCCAAATTCTCGGATTTTAATACATCTGAACAACAAATAATATAAAAGCAGGTACAGAGTAAAATGCGAGCCAGTTTCAGTCAAGCTCTGAAGAAGCAACAAAAACCGACGCAGGAGGAATCCAGAAGTTTTATAAAAAGTATAATAATAAGCACTATTATATACTATAAACGTTATTATAATTGGTGACAAAGAAAGAAAATCTCAACCCCAAGGAATCACAGATCTGATCTACGAGTAATTTACAATTTAACATTAGTTTAATGTTGTGGGACGACTTTGCATAATACAAATAAGTGTTTTCGAACTGAGGTGATTCTTACTTGATGAAAATTCATTTAATACAATCAAATTAGAGCAAAAAATGTTCACATTTTTTTAAAATACATACGTAAATGATGCTTTTGCTTTTCTCACTGGAACGGACAGACAACTACAGATAAGATTATAACTAAGAAGCGGTATCATTTAACTCTGTACTTTGTCTATAACATATAAAACACCGAAATCAAAATTTACAAAACAATAAAATACATAGGAGAAACTAAGAATTTGATCTTATGATTGCTTTTAAAACAGCAAAAATTATAAGAAATTTTTTAAAAACAGTAAAACTAAGTCACGAAAAAAGCAAAAAATCCGGAGTTTGTAAGTTGACATGTGGATCATGTAACAAAATGTATATCGAACACGCAGGTAGAACATTTGAGAAGCGTATTGACGAACATAAAAGAGCGTATAAAAATAAAAGCTCGGATACTAACTACACCATTCATTTAAATTCAGAAATTCACAAGTTTCACGATAATTTTGATATTTTACGTAATGAATCAAAAAACAAAAAACTAAATTTGTTGAAAGCTATGGAAATTAACAAAATTTATCATTACTTAATAACCAACTGGCCTGAATTGCGTTTCTATTCGAACCATAGCCTATTTCTGACATTTTCTTTTAGAACATACTACTTGAAGCATTTTTGAGTATAAATCAACTACTTTGATTATTTTGGTCCACATTATATGTTTAATTTATACAATTTGATTTCAGAGATGAATTTCAGTATATGCCAATGGATGATCCTGCCATTTCTCATTCACCAGGGAGCCAGGTAACTAATTGTAAATTATATAGTCTGTCTTCGTCGCCAATTATCCTCTGGGCTTCTTCAGAGCTTGACTGAAACTGGCTCGTATTCTACCTGCCTATCTATTGTTTGAGGGGGTCGGAGCTAAAGGAGGGGCATGAACATAGTAGTGAAAAAACCTTGAATGTGATTCTGGGTAGCAAAAAAAGTGTTTAACTTTGCCATGAATCATGTTTGCAAGGGTATCGAGTTCGATTGTGGTCAAAATGGAACCGATTTCAGTTGTAGATACCTTATTAATAGATTCTATTCCTTTACGGGTGTGACGAATTCATTCTCAAAGTAAAGCAAAGCTAGATTTCGAAAGAATTTTGAATGATAAGGTTTTATCTTTCACAAATATAAACAACTGATACAGGGCGAATCCAGAAGATTTGTAAAAAGGTTCCTCCAATTGGTACGGTCATTATTAAATTTGGGCACATGTAGGCACTTAAACGTAGGCATATGAAAGATAAAAATTGTATTTCAATTTCACATCCTCAGGTAGAATCCTGAAACATTCTTTGGGCAACGAAATATTATACAGGGTGGCTCACTGAAAACGCACCGCAAGCTTTTAATGACTGGAACACACGAAAAAATCCAAAAACGCGACAAGTGTCTGTGTCACGGATACAATTTTTTATGTGTCGTATGTTTTCGTAATGCCTTGAGGTGCGTTCTCTATGAGCTAGGGAAGAAAACTGGGGACCTCACGCCTTCAATTTTGTTCCAGTTGGGTTTGGAAATGCCAGTCCGAAACGAGAACGTGCAAAAGACAACTCCAAGAAGATAGCGAAGAGATAGATTCGTATGCGTCTATCGAATTGTGCCGTTTAGTTTGCGGAAGTGACGGAATTGTATGGCCTAAACCTAAAGTCTATGAGCCATACTCTAAAAAATTAATCAACATAGATGTCGCGTAAGAATTTCATAATTTAGTAACAAGTGCCGACTATATATAACAACCTAGTTCTGGAATGATAACACTCATACGATACTTGCTGTCTCCAAACCCTTGTTTTGCGTGGCTTTAACCTGAAAGATTCAACTTATCTCTTCACTTTCAAATGTTAGATCACGACAAGATTGAAGGAGTTATCACAATATAAATTAACAAAAGAATCTCAAATGTTCGACCACTTCCATTCAGAATATATTTAAATATAACAATTGGAATTACCCATGAATACTTGGCACGAAATTCTGATAACTGATACCTAATATAAATAAAACAGCTTTTTTTTTGACATTTAATTTCAAACACAGCTGATATCTTTTCGGTGACCAAATCAATAAATTATTGTTTTCAACACCATTAAAACAGAATTGTAAATATCACTTAAATCCAAAATTGACATTGTAACATTAAAATAATATTAGAATCCACCATTTTTTTTTGCAACCACTATTATATTATCAATAACATAAAGTATGATCTGCAGCACTACTTATTAAATGAAAATAAAGAACAGCGTTGAAGGGAAACTATGTTGAAACAATTTGTTCGTGCGCTCGGTTAAATATATTCTTATACTACACTAAGTAAAACATTAAAACCTCGCATTCTAATAATACAGACCAAACAATTTTTAAACTGTTGATTATTGATTTCGATCTGACATTCGATTCTTTATAATTCTTCCGAAAATAAATGAACTTTGTAACGAACACGTATAGTAGGCCCACCTGGACGTACCATCGTAGGCCTAGACCGCTGTGTCAGTACTGACGCGAGTGTCAGTCAGTAACGAGTTGATACAGAGATTTTACCGCGTATAACCGTTTAAATTCTGTTTTCTTCCCAACAAACTGTTCCTACCCACTTTTATAATAATAAATAACGTTTGCTTGAGTGCGGGTTGTTACTGTAAGTAAGCAGTGTAACAACTTCTTAATTTATTTTTTTTTAGATAATTTAGATTTTTTAATTTCGATTTTGTTCTTGAAGTATAAAAAAAATGTTTAAATCAACAGAAATTTTAATTCATAAATAAATAATGAATAACAATAATAAATAATCTTGGGAGAAATATTTACTTCATTTTATATTAATGTTGATATCGCCAGCAAAATGTAAATACCATCGTTTGTCTGGACAACATTACTTTCCGCATAAGAAGATTTTATTTAAATTTTTGGGCTATAAGAGCAGAGCTTTCTTTTGCAACTTTTATTTCGCCGATATTCTTTATTACACTTGTCCAATCTTTGTAAATATCTCAAAAAGGACAAATGAGACAGTGCCTCTCCCTGTGAAACTCACTAAGTCTAACTCTCTTGTGAAGTGTTCATAATCTCAGCCTTTAAACTCATTGGTGACGGGAAGACAGCAGAAAGTATTTGATTTAGTACTTAGTATTTAATTTACTTCTCCTCGTGAGGCCCTAATATTTAGTTAAAAAAGGAACAGATCATCTTCAATTTAATTACAAATAGGGATTAGTTCCAACCTTTTCTAGGAATGCCGACTTTTTCATAACGAATAACGACGCCTCGGTCCAAGATTATCTTACTCACGCCATATACTACTTCAAGAATCACTATGACAGCGGAACAAGTTGCCGAAACGCATCAAGTTTCAGTGTGATTCTAAAATCGGAAAATAACTCCTTAAACATGGGATGGGATACGTCAGAAGAATATAGTCTTCTGATCACTACAACTAGCGGTAAGATATATGCAGATAACGACATATTAGATCGCGTCATGCATTGATAAAGACGTTTGCTGCTTGCATTAGCACATCGGCACATCAACAGGTTTGTGCTGTCGAGCTCATTGATTATCTGTTCCGTCGAAGTTACCTTCCGAGCTGTTAATCAAATATTTATCTTTATAGACTCACCGTTGATGTACACAAGATTTCAACTGTACCGCAAGTCTTTGTTTCAAAAATATTTATGTCAGATTTCTCAGACTTGCATTTCTTCAATATTCAATCTTTATTGGTTATCAAATGCACACTGGCTCGCCTATTTACACACCAATTAGATTTGTTACTTTGACTCTTTGATTTGTCATGGCCCTTATTGCACTTGCTCTGAAAATGTCCATATCCTGAACATTCTACTTGTGTCTAATTTGTCACCTTTTTTAGTGTCCTGTGGTATTGAACCCAAATTTTCCGTTGAAATTTCTAACCTGGAATGGTCAATTACGCAATTCAGATAATCCAGATAACAAAAAAGATAGGATCCACTAGTCTATCTTAAATCCAATACCACGTAGTTTTTGGTTCTGGTTTACATAAGACCACAATGATTCTAGTCAACGCAAAATGATTTACCTTTCCACTGTACCCGGGATCGTCATATAAACTTCTAGTTTTTTTCAAACTTCAAAGGTTTTTCTCTTTCTCCGCTGTCAATTTTTTAGACGAAGTGATGCCGTTAATGTGATCCAGGAAATGTTCTAGATGTTCCTCTGTTCCCAGTCTTTGTCCAAAATAATTAAGGAGTGTAAGACCTATCTCAACCAACGTTTAGATATGTTAGTTGACGATTTGATAGCTTCTCCCTTTTCCATTCCATGTGAATCTTTGCTACTAACGAACAAAGTGCTCAAGCCATCGTCTTGGCCGTAGAAATGGTCTGCCAAATGAAAATACGAATTACGTAGGCAACAATCCAATAGTTCCATGATGCCTTCTAGAGGTGATGTGGTTTTTTCTGACATTCTTGAAGCTTGGTCCTATCAATCGCTAAGGATACGTCCTGATAAAATATTACCTTTGTCTTTATTATTTCCACAAGGTGCTTGAGAAGCGCTGAAACTTTTCTTGTAATAGGTTGTATATAAGATAATCCCTGTATTTACTTATTATTTTGTAAATTCTGCTTTCCAGTGACGGTGTTGGGTGCAGTAAACTATATTTCCCGTCTCTTAATACTTTGTCCATATTGTAATCGTAATCAGTGGTATTTAGAATTTCAAAAGCATTTGGTTTAACACCTGAAAGTACCTTGATACTTGCGTCTTGTTTCAGATCCTATATAGCTCTTTCCTCCGTTCTCCTTCTTAAACTCTTCTAGTTACGCTTTATGGTCTCAACTGTGCTTATTATATATAGAACTGCTTTGGCTTTTTTTGCGAACTTCAGTCCTTCCAGTTCTCTTCCACAACCGTCAATAATTTCGTTGACTTATACAATGGTCCTGCTGGGCTGGGTGGCCAGTAACCGGTCCGTCCTGTTGATTCTCCTGAAGCCTCTGTTACGTGGTCCTTGATCTTCTTGCAAGGGTAGTTAATTTTGTTGCGAACAGGATTACAGTTGCCTTCGAGAAGAATTTCTTTTTCGTGGTGATTGCTTTGGCTGTGAATCTGTTGCTGCTCTTGATGCGGAAATTGTTGATTTCAATCTATATCTAATAAGAATTGTGTTGTTGTTCCTAGCCTCATCTATTACAATCACGATGACCCTACCTATATTAAACAAACATTATTCGACACGCAGTCGCAGAGTGATATTTTTGTAAACAAGGGAAAAAAACTTACGATCATAGCAAAACGTTTTTTGTCAGAATTGAAGGTAATAGTGAGTATAGTCGGAGACACCGTTTATGGGGTGAGGCATGCTCTAGAGTCGCTGCTTCAAATGATAGCCACCTATCAACGAGACACGGACATTTGCCACGCAACCATACAGAATTGCTCAATCGTGGATGGCCCGGTATATTCGCATCGCGGGTATGCGACTGTCGAATTATCCGCTTAAATGATTGTGGGAATAGGGTTTCAGGCTGCTCATCGATACTGCGAGGAACTTCCTATCGATCGACACCATTAAAAGGAACATCAGAGGAATGGCGATGTCAAAAATGAACGTGCTTCATTGGCACATGACGGATTCCCAAAGCTTTCCATTTGAGTCCTCCAGGTTACCCAACATGACCAGGTAAAACGTAATAGACTTCATAATAATATAGTTTTCCTTACATTTTTAAGAAATGTTATGTGGATAGTATAAATAAAAAAGGCGACTGTTAATTGTAGAGCCATTGTAGTCACCGTAATAGTAGCAGATGCAGATAGAATATCGAAAGTCTTTTTAATGACAACAGACTTAACAACCAAACGCTTCAATTAGAAGAGCCGACCGAACCAAGCATATTGGAAAACGAAATCCGAACGAAAGTGGTAAAGCTTATGAAGAATAGCAATATGTTTCCTGACACGTTTCAGTTTATTCATACACAGAATACCAAAATAATCTCTAAGCTCTTTAACAACATTTATGATGCAGAACGTCTTCCAGAAGCCTGGCTTCGTTCTTCTTTTATTACTTTACCAACATGAACTAGTACAAAAACACGCAAAGATTACCGTTCTATAAGTCTAATGAGCCAGCAAACTTTGCACAAGAGGCTCTATAAAAAATTCGGAACAAGAGAAGATAGATAGATAATTTTATTCACAAAGTGCACAATGGATGTTTCGTCAGGAAAAAAATTCATTGTAGAATATTATAACAAAACATGAAATGGTGTTTATAAACAATCAATAGGCAACCCATATAAGAGTATGAAATGTATTGGAGAGTTAGCAAACAAATATATTTTCGATCGACGGTACCAACATATTGACAAAATATTCAAAATACACTAGACACTCGTCAGAACACTCTCATAATGTAGGCCTGCAACTTCCTCCTGGTAGTTGGGGCTGTTGACCCGGGGGACCTTTTCACTGGACTAGGTGATAACTGATTATATTGTCCTCCACGTCCACTTTCTTGTGTGTGATTATGCAACTCGGACTGTCGTTTCCGAGATATCCAACCTCGGGAAAAGATAACGAAACGGAAACGAAAAAGTAAGGAGAAAGAAAAAAAAAATTAATGATAATAATAATAACAAAGGCAATAAGAGTTAAAAAAGTAAAAACTTAAAAATGTAAAAAAAAGGACGGGCAGTAAAAAGTGAATACGTCATATAATAGATGAAAATAGCTATCGAAAACTGTACCAGAGCAAAGAGATATTTCTCCCCACAAATCGACATAGAAAATTTTAGAATTGACTAACCGTGTGGCGAATTTTATTCGTTACAGCTGGGAGGAAGCAAATTATAATAGTATAGTCCTTAAAGAACATGTGGTTAGGTTTTGGTCTTAGAAGGGGTTCTCTATTTGGGTATTATAACCGTGGACTTCAGTATGTTTCCTATGGGAGCCTTTATTTTAAGAGTCTTTTAAAAATATATATACGAAGCGCTGTAAGTATTTTATACTTTACAAAAGTATCTTTGCATGTTTAAAAATTAACCTAAGTATCCTTTTTTGCTGGATGAACACCCTCTCCGCCTGATAACAATATAACAAGAAATAGACGAATATGGTGAGGCATAATAGAAAGTCAACAAGGACCTTAAAAAGAAAGGGTCTCTGATTGTTAATATTACGAAAAACGTTTTGCTCAATTTATTGAATGAATGCCAAGTTTGGCAAAAGTTTAAACACTGAATTCAATCTCCTCCAATTTTATGATCAAATGATTCTGCTTGCTTAAATCAACAAACTACACAACAATAATATTGATCAGCTCCTGAGCATCACTTCCATAGACGTGTCATCCGTGTACATAACAGACATGACGAAAAAGCTTTCTTTTGCTTTTCTGATTCCTGTGTTTAAAAGGGGGAACTCCGAGTTAAAGCATTCCAAAAGGCCATGTAAAATTGAATGACACATTTTTTGGAGCAAGAAAATATTATATCGGATGTGCCACATGGTTTCCGCATTGGATATTCGACGGAAACGAGGACTAATGATCTTGTCCAGCATATTTAAGATAAGCTTGGTACGGGTGAGACAATTGTGAGAGTGTTTTTTGATTTACGGCGCACTTTCGACTCCTCAGATTTGGATATCAGGACAAAAAATATAAAAATAGAAAAATATTCCCAAATTTCGGTGGAGTATAAATAGCTGGATAACATCGTATATGAACTATAGGAAAATAATTGTCAAAATGTCAATTACTTTTTCTTTTGTATGAAAAGGACCTTCCCCACTTTCTTAATAGCAACTGAAGCTGATATAGCACCTAAAGGATTTGGGACTAGATGGTAAAGACATTCGATTTATTAGCAATTTGTACTGGAATTAGAAAGCAGATACGCGATTGAGCAACTTGTCCACAACGAAGCAGTTTGACATAAGAAAAGGTGTTAGACAGGGTTCCATTTTATCACCGAGGCTGTACAATCTCTATCCTAAAAGAGTATTTCGGCAGTTGGTCTCAAATTACCGTATGGACATTAAAATAACGATATAGACGATACTGATTTAATCGCGGATAGCACAAAACATTTAAATGAATTATTCAATCAGGTAAATTAATAATTATATAATAATAAATTAAAAATAAATAAAATTAATATAAAAAAAGTGTATGGTCGCGAGTAGGGTTCTCTGGTAGCTATAGACCCTGGCATACTTTTTATCATTGAATTAGTGACGCAATTTAAGTATCTGAGATGTATGTTAAATCAAAATTGGGACCCATAACAAGGCATTAGTTATAGAATAGAGCAATCAAGGGGAATCTTGCTTAAACTTAAAAAAAAAACTTACAAATTAAAATCTGAACTTAAAACTAAGATACTGAAGGCTTAATTTTTATGTTTGGTCAGTTCTCTTTTATAATGTAGAGGCCTGGACATTAAAAGAACATTCTATAAATAAATTAGACATTCGAGATGTAGTTTTGATTGAGTTCTTTGTTACTTGATGATAATCCATTACATACGTAATTTAATAAAAACAAACGCTTGCTTTAAGATTACCACAGACATGTTTATTGCATTGACAATTGTTTCCGTACACTGTACCTTCTTCAGAAAGAATCTTTAAACTAACTATTACAGGGTTGATTACAGACTATACATACAGTAGGTAGAATCTTTATCTAATGGTTTAAGAGGGGAGAATTATTTAAGTCGGTTTGATCGTTTAGTAGCAAACTTGTATATTTCATTTTATTAATTTCTATTGTTTCTAATAAGTTAAGTTTTTTGCTTTTGCCTTGACTATGTAATATTTTTACATCGTTATTGAAGGAATGTCCCGTTTCTATTAAATGATTACTATAATTAGAGTCATTTTTAGAATTCAAGAATGAACTTTTATGTTCTTGAATCCGTTTTTTGAAACTTCTGATTGTCTGAGCTATGTATATTTTTGGACAAGATCCACATGCTAATTTGTATACTCCCGACTTACATAACTTATGGATTTTCGTTTTATTATTTTTAATTACATATCCTAATGTCCTATTACATGTAAAGGCAATATTCCGATTTAGCCTTCTAAGTTTTTTAGCTATTATTTCACTTGTTCACTTTTTTTCAAATTTTCATGATCTCCAAAATGTTGCATAATTAATGCAAGAATTTGCATGGCACAAGAAAAAGGAGTAGTCACCGTGTTCTTGGCGTTAGGTAATGATGAACGTCTGCGTGGTCAAACATTCAGGATAAGGAGAGAACCATGAGGGACAGCTTATCGTCTGCATTATATACGTTTATTTTATAATAGCACATTTGATCTTTAAAACAGTTAAACCACTGATATTGTGTGTACACCAATAACTTAGAATATTGCACACACATTTTCAGGCCAGTATCAAATGTGCCATCCATCCTCATAATAAAGTAATGACAATAATAATAATACTAGCTTGGAGTTTATGAAGAAGAGAATATTGACCATAAAGGTGTCAAGGAAACAAAGAGGACGGTCTATTTTACACCCTGCAGCAGATACCGAAAGGCTTTATGTACAAAGAAACGTTAGGGGACGAAGACTTTGCACTATGAAGTAAAAGAATATGTTAATATATGGCTCAAAGATTCTACCAGCATGAGGCCGACAGTAGTACATAGTGATGTACGAACCTCTCATTCGAACAGACTGAAGCTGGAGTAGAAGATGTAGAGAACCCAATTCCCTGTTTTGCCTATCACCATCGGCTGCAAGGGATTCTCCCCGTTGCTGAGAACTGTCCATATCTTAAGGAAAAGTCTTGTCTACATCTCCCCGCTTTAAATCTCTATTCTGGTGCGCGATTTGAGGACGGAAGGTGATAGTGATCGTGCTCAACCAATGGTCTAAGTTTTACATTCCTTTTTATATATTTATCTGTGACTAGAGTTACGTCTGATGCATTCCAATATAACATAAGCCCTATTGGGGATAAATTTTTGAATAAATCATATTAATATTAATAACTTGAACAGATATGGAGCCTACAGTAGCTCCCAAGTTTACAAGCCCGCCGACTTGGCTAGTCTCATAGAATTTGCCAAAAATCACGGGGTAAAAATCATACCCGAAATTGACGGTCCGTCTCATGCCGGAAGCGGATGGCAATGGGGACCAGATGCTGGATTCGGCAATCTGGTGGTTTGCTACCAGCAGCAACCGTGGCGATCGTATTGCGTCCAACCGCCGTGTGGTAAGTGTTTCAGGCTTAAAAAAGTCAACATAATTTGAACTTAGTAATCACTGAGTGTCTTGAGCATCTTAAAATACGAACTGTGTGTTTTCTATTTGTCAACCCATCGAAAGGCTATGTGATCATAGTATAACTTCCTGCGTAGAATTGACTGCCTCCCTCAACACGTCAAAAAGTTATTGAACCTAACTATTTTTTCCAAAAGTTGATCACCCTGTATCTTATTTTATTTAGTTATTATCATCTCTAAGGGATTTGGATGTTTTACATTTGAGCTTATTTTCACGGTTGTTCTGCTTATATTAAAATGTTGAAGTTTGCATGGCCACCATCTGATGGCCCATAATACACTATTCATGAAAAAAAGTGCTTTAAGAATCATATCAGTTCTTGATTTTATGGTCAGTCATTTCATCTTGTACACTATCACTGTTTAACCATTCATAAACTTGTTGCTGCAAACTGTCATCATGGTATCCCTTTTACTTGATTCCAAGCTGAAGCTTTCTAATATACAATCTTTTTCAAGTTTATTTTCTTTAGACATATCGGCACCCTCATCTGCATCATCTTCACAAACTTTCAGTCAAAGTACTATCGGTCTAGCCATCCATCACTTTTGTTACTTTATATTTTAAAATGGTGCTCGAAATTGGTATTCTTCTGGATTCCGTGTAAACCATAAAAATAAAGAAATCGTCATTTTTGTAGTTTTTTTATTTTAAATTATCAAATATTTTTTATGGTTAATGGATAACAGCCACACTATTGAAGTAAATTTAACTTAAGTACAAACTATTACAAAACGCGTACTTCTTCCAAATAACAATTCCTTGTTCGCCTCCAAACCACAATACTGTAATTTATTTGCGATTCAAAGAGAGAGTAGTAAACTTGTTTAAGATAATGAACATTTAAGTAATCTTTAAGGTGAGAAAATACCGTAAGTAGAAATCTTATTTTATTAGCCAAATGTTTAATATGTTTGTGCCACCTTAGATGAATTTCAATAATTACTTATTAATTAATTGTGTTGTTTAACGTCAGTAAATGATACTTAAAGCACTTGCTCATATTGCTAAAATCTCGCTCTACAATGCACTTAAGTTCAAACCAGTTTTCTGCGGCGTAAAATATGATGGGGTAATCTGCAAAACTGAATATAGTTCCTTCACTATCAATTGGGCCCAATACCGTTCCTTGTGGAACACCGCAAGTGACGGTTCTTGTTTTGCTTTTATCGAAATCAATATTTACAAACTTCGATTTTTCAGATAATCTTTTATAAGGTTTAATGCACTACCTCTGATTCCATGCTATGTTGGTGTATATGTTTGTCTGATCGTTGAAGCGCTTTAAGTATTTTCTACATACTGTTAACAACGCGTTTACGTTTATAAAACTACTCCTTTTTGCGATAATAACATACGCTATTACCCACTTGAACACTTAACAGCATATTAAATAGCTACCGCCTGTGAAAGTGTTACTTGAACATTATCCTTTGTTACTCGTCTTATAAAAGTTATGGCAGATGCTTCAAAAAGCTATGGATATATCGGACGTTGCACTAGAGGAGTGATTAAAATTATATATAAATTATATATCTGGTCTAAGGAATAGGCAGTAGCAGTTTGATCTCCTGGATGCAATTGTCATATTAATATCCTGGAAATATTCCAGCTCAAGTTTTTGTAGTATGTATGGTATCAATTGGACGGACTATACCCCCATTAGGCTTTTGGTATACAATATTATTAAATAAATTTGGTTAGTTTGATGATTCGATGATTATCATTATTTAATTCCTTTCTTAAAATTTTTAAAAAACTTTATTGTTAAATTTTATTGTTTCCCGTATTAACTCTAGACATAGTTACACATTCCTTCTACCCATACCAAGAACAAATATTTAAAAGTTTTCCTTGTTTTTTTTTCATTCTTTTTTAAATATCACACTTTGAAAAAGTGGGGTTAAAAAAAAGTTGTGTCTTATAGCTTTTGGTCGTGCGTAAATTTATCCTCCGAGCATTCCTAACCGATTTTCAGGTCAAATGAATCCAGCCAATCCCAAATTATATGACGTGCTCGGTTTACTCTACAACGACATTGTGGATTTGTGGCCCGAAAGCGACGTGTTCCACATGGGCGGAGACGAAGTACTGTGGATACACCATCCGATACAGCATTACAAATACGCGTGACCTTTCAGGTGTTTATCCCTTGCTGGAATTCAACTGAGGAGATCCTAAAGTACATCGAGCCCAAAAGTAGGTCGAACGAAACATTCTTAGACCTATGGGCGGAATTTCAGTCGAAATCTCTGAGTGTATACGACGCCAAAGTGGGAAACGAAGAGACTTCGATTGTGGTTTGGACCAGTCACCTCACGGATCCCGCAGTTATCGAAAAGTATCTTTCCAAAGACAGGTATAATCGACCTTAAATATTTTATTTCGGATAACCGAAGATTTCTGTTGGAGGTATGTAATCCAAGCGTGGGTACCAGCCGATGACCCATTGCCAACGCAGCTACTAAAGTTGGGCTACAAACTCATTATTTCGACGAAGGACAAGTGGTATTTAGACCACGGGTCCTGGGGCACCACGAAGTTTTCCACGTGGAAAGATGTTTACGATAATAAAATTCCATTAAGTGTCAATGTGTTTGGCGGAGAGGTTAGTAGCAAAAGAACCATAGAATTTCTATGAAAATGGTAATATTCTGTGTCGAATTTCAAACATTTAGTAAACTTCTTAAATTTGATTGCATTTGTCATTAAAAAAAGTGAACCCAGAGAAATGAAATTTTTATTTTTATTGGATATGAAGACAAAACGTGGACTCAAGAATAACTTTGTAATTTGTGTAACGCAAAAGGTATCTATTTTTATTTATTTATTTAACCTTAATATGATTTAATTTGGTTTGGATATTGTCTACGGGAACATGAATATTTAACAATTTGTATAAAAAAATTACCACATTTCTTCTGTTCTGTAAGAGAATGAAGATTGAATGATTCCATAATGTCTGTCTTTGGTATGTGCATTTGGTACACACCAGTTGCGATGACTCCATATTCCAGTATACTTCCGAACAGTGACCCGTACAATGATTTAAGGCATATTCAATTAAAATACTTACAATTTCTTATGATAAACATATAAATATTATATCATTTATATGAGTACCAAAAGTTATACCAAGAAGCTAAGTACGAAAAAATTTTCAGTATCATAATGCAATTCATTTTTTATAGTCCAGTCATATATTCTCTGTAAGGCTTGTTGAAGTTTTAGCCAGTCAATGTAATTTTTAACTATAACATAGCGTCTAAGTATATTCGAATCATAAACTAGAGCAAGATTGGAACCCTGCAAATATGAATTAATTGTTCAAAAATCTTTGCAGAAGGACATTATGTGATACATTGTCAAACACCCCAAAACATCAAGTTGACTTTTCTTGTCCAATCCCAATATATCGAAAATTTCACAAAGATTTATAAATGTAGATTTTTTATTTAAACAATTTTGTGCTGCGGGATATAATTCGTTCGTTGAACTCCGACTGGAATCCTTCAGACGTTTCACCAAGATCTCAGTTGGCATCTCCTCGCGCTCCGAAAACACTTCGAATACTGGGAGGTTATCGGCGGTGCCTGCGGTATTTATACCCTGCGCCGGAGGTGGTAATTGTCGCGTTGTTTGTTTCGCCCGATCGTAGTTGCAATGTCCCCGTTGTTTGTTTATGGTTATATTTCGAAAATTTAAAGTCATAGCCTACTGGAACTTTTTAACAAAACAGAGAGAAGAGAGAATTACTATTAGGCATGTTTACAAAAATAAATTGACAACGAATTCTTATTCAGGAGTACTTGGTTTTACATAGGAAACAGTCTCCCGAGGTCAATGAATGTTGATATTTCTGTTATTTTCATTATTAGGTGAGAATTAAAAGAATACAGCGTTGAAAAGTCTGTTTAGTTCACATCCAGTTCTCTCTAATAATATCTAATTTTAAGAAAATCGTCCGCTTTCAGTGAAATCTATCCGACAAAAAAAGAATTATCAAAATTGAGCGAAAAACAAACATTTTGCAGCACCTTATAATAATATAAATAATATAATATAAAGCAAATGAAACAACTACGTAAGCATAATACACGTAGTGATTGTGAGTGATTATTTTATTCTGATTGTAATTTACGGCTCGCGCACCAGTGTATAACACTGTTTAACACAGTTATAAATAAATGGTCTGATAAACATGACATTTCATCATTGCAAATAACTGAAAATACGTTGTCATTACAGTAATAGTGTAATAGTTTTTCCAGTAAAATTAAACAACCTACATAAATTTATCTTAGGTTTGCATGTGGGGCGAGTACGTGGATGACGACAACATGGAGGGCAGGGTGTGGCCGAAAGCTGCAGCGGCAGCCGAAAGGCTGTGGTCCAACCCGGCCACCGCAGCCACAGCCGCAGCGAACAGGTTTTACATACAAAGAAAAAGGCTGGTCGACGGCGGCATAAAAGCCGCCGCCGTGATTCCTAAATTTTGCGAACAAAATGAAGCGGAATGTGATTGAAATTCTTTTAATACAAAGTGAAAATAATAACCGATTTGATTTGAGATTTTAATTGTGACATTTCCCTATCCACTTGCAGAGTTATAACAATTGTACGCAACTGTGTGCAGAAATCGCCTTCTTTGCATTGCGCGGCTTTTTAGAATATGCTTATGTCGGTTGTTGGTGAACCGAACTTGCTGACGTTGGCTTCTTAAGAGCTTCACCGAAACCGACTTTCATTCTACTTTATATCTGCTTATATGTTGATTCAAGGAGGCGGAGCCAAAAGAGGGCCATGAGCACCGTCTAGAATGACTGATTCCCTGAGTGGCACTTAAGATTGAAGTCCGCTTTCGTGTAGTGTTAAGGCTCTTTCGTGTTCTTTGAGTCTAGTTGATATTTTTCGTCCGGTCTCTGCAATGTATTAACACTGTCTTATTTTTTCACAAGATTCACGGGAAAAATTGTCGCTTGGACAGAAATACACAGTTCTTTTTACATTTAGTAGTCAGCAACTTTCTCTGAAAGAAAAAATGGCTTTTTTCAGTAGTCAAGTAGATCCACGAAACATATTTTTTTACGAAATGTTCGTCATTTTGAACGTAGAGTGGCAGTCAATAATCGGAAACGCAAAAATTTGTCCTGCTGATAATTGACCTTAACGCCTAAGCTATGGTCTGTTCATGGATATAGGAAAGTAACCAATTGCTTTTGAATGGGATTATTTAAGGGTTGTCATTAACATACAATGGAACAAGATTAGCTAAAGGATATAGGGAACGGGTGAATACGGAGGAATGCGATTAATCCGATAATATGATTTGAATGTTTCGTCGAAAGTGCTCTGGTGTGTTTGATTTCGGCTAATGATGATTAGTTCACACCGGTGAGATACTATGGAAGGGGTATGGTCTGTTTATAGATATAAGAAAGTGACCAATTGCTTCTTGCTTATACCTAAAGTTTCGGAATTTAAATTCAGGTAAAATTGTGGTCCGTAATAGAAAATAATTTTATACCTACCCGTGTTTAATATTCTTTGGTTTGGTATACTACTTAGTTTAAGTTTATTAGTAATGATTTTTATCTCGTGTGAAATACAGCGTGTGTTGAATCGAGTGCGAATTATGCAAAATATGTGCGGGTCTAGTGTATTCCAAGACATGCTTCCGCCCAAATGTAGAAAACACTATTCTATTGAGACTAAGAAAGTTATAAACAATGGTTATTCTCTAGAAGAAACGGCCACGTTGACGAAAATTCCAACATCAACTATATGGAAAATTGTGAATAATCCCATTTCAGCGAGGAAAAAAAGAAGCGATGCTGACATTTTCTCGACATTAGATGTCTTAATTAGGAGGCTTAAAAAAGATGAAACCGGTTTTAAATGATGCAGAACTACCTTATGGAAGTGTATTCAACACATGGGTTTTAGATTTAAAAAAATTGACAAAAGGCAAGTTTTGATGAAATCTTTGGATTTGGACTTTCTCTGGCTGCAAAAAATATTAAAGATTTTTCTCTGGATTACCATGAAGACACCACCGCTGATTTATTTGAAAGTTGGTTTAAAAACAAACTAGTTCCAAATATTCGTCCTAATAGCGTCATTGTAATGGACAATGCAAGTTATCACGGATATAAAAGCAACAATCCAAAACTACATGTATAATAACGACATTTATTTTCACGAAAATTATACCAAAAAGCTGGTCTGTGATAATTATGGCAAAAATCTAAGGCATACAGTTTTAAGGCTTCCACCTTACCACTGTGTATTTAATCCCATCGAACATGTTTGTCACCAACTGAAATCTACCATTCGTCGTAACCAATATTTTTCCCCGTGTAACTTATAGAAACCGAAGTTTTTAACATCTCTCCACAAAGTTGGGCAAATTCGTCTTCTTCAATCTTTTTATTAACGATAATACATACCTAAAGCTTATGTAATTTTTTAGTTTCCAGTGCCGAATAATAGGTATCTGGTTATAAAAGGTAGGTTATTTATATCGTTTGACAAACCGATATTATTTATACGAGGTGTATCCAAAAAGTCAGGGGACTTTTAAGTTTTATCAAAAAGTATTAGTGGTCTTTTTTTTTGACAGCAGAAAATCGCCGAGCACACAAGACACGTCTAAAAAACCAGTAAACTTGCAAACTGATTGAAACTGTGAGCATATATTGGAGACATAACAATAAAAATATCAAAGATCGAATGTACATAGCCTTCTAAATTACAAAAGTCACCTTACTTTTTGAACGCACCTCGTAAACTTAAAGGACAGTATACGGTAGCCAGCAAAGTGTAAAATATCACAGTTCTACTAGATTTTATACTTGCGATAGCTCCATTAGTTTTGAAGGTAGAACATAAGATAACGCAAAAGATACATACAATGAAGTTTAAATTACATGCTACAGGGCGTTCATAATAAATTTGAAATTTGGATCATTTTAAATTGTAAAATCTACATTTACAAATTAAGTGGCAATGTTATTCTGAGTAGGGATATAAAGTCGGTTAAATTAGCAAACTAGTAGCATCCTTTCAATTGTTTACGATGGTGAAAACAGAAAAACAACTGTGGTTGGTTTAGGAAAAAAATTGGGAAATGTACTCTTTTTAAATGGAACATCCTGTATATGTGTAAAAACGATTTTTTAATGAGTGACGCAGTAAAGCTAATAACATTAATAATTACCACATTCAAACTAATATTCCGTTTGCCGGCGTTTTTGCTAAAAGGAGACGAGAAAACGTTATAATAAATGAACACGAAGAAATTGGTATTTTATTGTCGTTTCAAAAGAGTTTTACTTTGTAAATACTTATAGCCATGTAGTCTAAAAGAGAAGTGTGTTGATAATTCAATTTTAAGCTAATATTCAATATGACAATGTGATATTGTGACATATTTATTTAAATTTTTTGCTTTCGTGTTAATCCTAATTTATTTTGTACTAAAAATTGGTATCACAAATGCAGAAACCCACCAAAATGCCACGAGAGTACAAAATATCACTTTAAATCATTTTTTTAATTATATAAAATTCGAATTCAAAAACAGCAAACCGGCCCTTCTGTGTCTCTGCCTCTGGGGTGTCTAGATTTTAGGGACATACCTCTGCTTGTGGATTTTTGAAAAGAAAACACTCAAATATGCAATCAAACTTTAGGCATTTATTTACACTTAAACATCTAAAATATAAAATGACACTCTTCAAATTGATTGTAGGGCCTAACGTGCACAAAGTTAAAAAGAAATAACCATATAAGGATTTGGGGTGTGTGTGTGTATATTATGTTTTTTTCTTATGGCAGCATATTGAAATATTTAAAATAGCTAAGGTAAGAAAATGCTTTGGAATATCGTGTGCATAATACTGCATACAAAATCACAGCCTTCGGGACTATTTTCAAATCGATGGGATTGTAAACTAAATACTAGCACTATACTACCTAAAATATTTTAAAAATCGACATGCGAAACTCTTCAAAAATAGACGTTTGCGAGAAATTGATAATCTGACTAGTGTTTATTATAAATTTAAGGTAAGCCTAGTTGTACTTAATCTTATTCCTTTTTCCGAATATTTTCATGAGGTTCTTCGACATGTAGTAAGGCTTGTCCGGGCTTCCGTCATTCCTTTCACAATCTTCCACTGAAACAAATAATGAATGTAGCAGCTGATAGAATTGCCAGTGTTTTCACTGAGTGACGTGTGATGCCATTATCAGAAATGATGTCAAAATCATCATCAAACTATACAACGCCTTCCATACAAAACTGATACGACTCTTAAAGCACTTTTTTACAAAGTTTTGAGCAGTGTACGCGGTAAAAATTTTTTTCTTAGATCAAAGCAAATTGCTTTGTAGTAAAACATGTTGTGCTTTCCTATTCACCAAGAGAATATTTTCTTGATTTATCACAAAAAATCTCTTAACTCTCTGTTTTATTAAACTTAAAACTTTAAAGTAAAAAGAAATATTTCACTTCAAGACAGATTGTTTTAAGGTAAAACAAAATGTTCAAGAAAAGAAAGACTTTTCTTTGTAGACAAAAATTTTTACCGTGTATTGTAGGCCAAAATGTCGTTGTCACGCAAACTTCATTATTTCGTATTTCTAATTCTGTCACTGTCAATTAAAAGCAAGAATTGTGACCACGTTACCAAGGTGGTCGGTACTTAACAGCGGAAGTTCAATATTTTAATGTGAAAATGGGATCTAGCATCTTCCAAAAAGAGCAGACAACCACCGCTGACCAAATTCGGTGCCCAGTACGGAACAGCTTTACCCGGAAAATAGTGATATTTTCCAACAAGACAACTGTCCTGTCCACACTGCAAACGTCGTTATACAAGGGCTTCCAAATGCCCTTGCCATGGCCAAGTAACAACCGAATAGAACAAATGGGTGATAATGGTAAAACACAAGACATTGTATGCCTCAAAACAGCGAGGGAGCTACGGAGAGGTATTCCGGAAATATGTAACTTGAAGAGAAATCCATAACTATGAGCCGAGCACAAAACATTACATTCCTTCCAAGTGTTTCTTCTTGTCATGTTTATGTTAAAATGTCGGGCCCTTCCTGATAAAGATCAACCGTCTTCCAAATTTCTTGCATTTTTATTACCTGCCTTTAGTTCCCATATAGGATGTCAAGGCAAACTCTGTTTTGTCAAAATGTGACATGACGGCCTGACGATGTGTATACTGCCCAAAATATAGAGTGAAATCTTCAAGCCATATCAGTCTTTTAATGAAACTTAACTGCACGAGAAAGACTCGAAGTCACTTGCGACATTGTCTAATGAAACTGGCGTTTTAAAGTAAGATTTTACGCTAGTCTGATCGGTGGCAAATTTGGTATTGGTAAACACAACACGTTTTTATTATTAACGTTTTATTTAGAAAAAAATTCGCGTATTCTGTATAGTTAGCCTTAGTTCCATTTAAATTAAATAAGTTGAACTGCTTAAAGTACTTATTAGATTAGAGTAAATCTTTTTACATATCCGATAATTAGAACATAAAATATCCTTCTTATTTTAACCGCAGTGGGAATGTAGAATGAATTTCGTTATGATCATAATTTCATTTAAAGCAAAATCCTGAAAGAAAATTTAGTGTTACACTGATTGCTTAAAACTAATAACAACCGACGATTAAATTGTGTGCCAAATGTTGTGCTAGTAGGTGAATTAGTATCATAACATATTTATCGATTTATTTTACTTTTTATACTTCGTCATTCTTTACACTTTAATTTTAATGGGTGTGCATAGATACCAAGCCATAAAAAAATGCAATTTATAAAATACCTTCTGTTAGCTTATAGCTTTACTAATAATGCTATTAACGTATATAATAAGAGTAATGATATTGTTTTTTATACTTCGTTATTCTTTATACTTTAATTTTAATGGGTGTGCATAGATACCAAGGCATAAAAAAATGCAATTTATAAAATTCCTTCTGTTAGCTTATAGCTTTACTAATAATGCTATTAACTAGTGCTATTAACGTATATAATAAAAGTAATGATATTGCTTTTTATACTTACTTATTCTTTATTATTTATCTTTAATGGGTGTGCATAGGTACAAAGCAATAAAAAGAGCAATTTAGAAAATACTTTCAGTTAGCTTTACTAATAATGCTATTAACGAATATAATAAGAGTAATGATATTGCTTTTTATATTTTATCTTTAACGCGTGTGCTATTAACGTGTATAATGAGAGTAATGTTATTCCATAATTAATCGGTTAATGTTCTTTATTAAAATCTTTTTCTCTTTTTTTTTATAATGTTGAATTATAATTCTAAGCTGTGATGTCAAGGGTGTAGAATCTTTATTTACTGTCTGGGCATACCCCACATTACCAATAAAGATATTTTGAATTGAACTGAATATACCGCCAATACATCTAGTGGTACTTACGGAAACATAAGAACAGGGTATCGACGGCCATACTGTAGACGCTAAAGAACAATGAAGCAATCAAATAAGTCGCGATCATGATGATGATGACGGGCACGACGCCGTAGTTGAGCGAGGAGTTGTCGATAAAAGACACCAGATCGGTTGCGAAACACAGGTACGCCACTGCTCCCACCCCCACCGTTACCAGCACTTTGCTGAGGAAGAACAAGAAGTCCGTGACCTGTAATGGAAACCATGCTCATTCGTGAAAAGCAAAGAGAAACAAACCCGCATTAAATTAACTTTATAGGTTGTCCGCTAGATGTCGCAATGTCACTTTTAACGATCAAAAGCGCCCTATCATTAATTTTATTTCTGATCCTGGCAGGAATAGGAGTGCAAAAACTCGTCAAAGGTGTTTTATTTTGAATTGTGTCGTTTTTTTTATGATAAACAGTGAAAAGCAATTTAAGATTATTTTGAGTTACAACAGTTTTGATGAAATATTGTTAGAACTTTATTAAGAATATTTCTAATTGTGTTTTTATTTTAAGTTGTTTGACTTCAGATGATTATAGTTGCTCAAATTTGACTAATGTTTTATTATCTGATTTTTTTAATATACCATTAAATAAACAAAAAGGCTTTTGTCAGTACCACACCAAAAAAAAGGACTCAAATCATTTTTCCTTTTTAGTACTCGATCCCAGGGTAACTTGAAACCAACTTTAGGTATTCGATTAGCTCGGCTGTATACTATTTACCATTGTCGGAAACCAAAAAAAAAGAATTACAAGAGTTGGCAGACAAGAACATAATAATAATATAAAACATAACAATAAATTTATATATTTATGTTTTTCAAATTTTAATTTTTTGTGCCTAGATAATAAATAACCTATCCCAAGTACCTATTCAATTAATTTAATTAAAATTAAGCTTTTCCAGAACTAAATGTTAAATATTTTCTGCAGCTAAATTCTTGTAAGCACTTTAAATTAAATTAAAATATAATTTAATTTTAATACAAAACTTATACAAACTTATTTAACAGTTTTATTAAAAAATATGTAAGTTTTTTTTTTTGCAAAAATGTCATAACAAAAAATTGCCAGAAATGTCACAATTTTACCCTTTTTTTTTCGTAAAAGTGATACAATTCCAAAAATATTTATTTTTGAACTTTAACTGAAAGCCCCAGTCAATTAGTCGTATTTATTTATATTGGAGCAAAAACTTACGCTTATTTCGCTTAAGCCATCATAATTTTTGTATGGAACTGCATGTTTATTGGAAAACAGTTTTTTGCGTTTTCTGGGAAATTCGTTGTTTTGAGCTGAGTCACTTTTAAAGCACTGTTCCGCGCAAATCGTATAGTTTACCTTATCCAGGACGAATACCCTGACGATGTTGCGCATCAGCAACATAAACGCGTCTCTTGCGCTTGCGCAGAAGCCCTTGCCGTGAATGGCGCACATTATGTACGCGTTCTTGTTGAGGAACTTGAGGAAATTCTCCAGGCACCTGTATGATAAATACTCTTTTAATATGATTAATAATCTTTACGCGTGCTTCTCATTTAAATGACATTTGACAGTATTTTAGAAACCGACTATCGGCCTTCCATAGTCTTAGTTCTTGTTTACACAACGTTTCGAGCAGAGGTCTCACTACCCAAGTGCAAACTAATTAAATAAATAAGAACTAATAGTTCAGATTTTCACGAAATTCACATGACAATTGTTTCGACAACACCATGTCTTTACCAAAGGCAATATTTACAAACTACCTGGTACTATATATACCGAAAAACGGCAATAAAACCTTAATTAATGTTGTTGTGAGAATTTAAGTTTAATAATGGATAGGTATTTAAATCTAATTGATGATAAGCAATACATTGGAATGTTTCACTTTGTTAATCTCCATGGCTTCCGATAAATTTAATTTTCTACTTTTTGTGGCTGTATGTAAAACATCAAAATTGTCGTCAAAAATGTCTTTTTCTGTGTTTAATATAATAGAATAGAATCTAGACTATTGTTTTTGAAGGCTCTTTTATGTTCGCTAATGCGTTTTTTGTCCAATATAAATTTTAGGACAAGATCCGAATTTCAACCTGCAGACAACTGATTTTTGAGATTTTGGACATTTCGCTTTATTGTTTTTTAAAAATTTTCCTATTGTGTTACTAGTTCTGAAAGCTGGGTTTCCTATGTATGTAATTATTTGAAATTGTTCGTATTCTGTATTAGGTTTCGGATAAATAGAGTTGTTATGAGTGTGTTGTCTGGAATTGTTTCTTATTTATAATTTTATCTGTAATGGACGGATTGTAGCCGTTGTTCATTGCAATTTGTTTAATGATATTAAGTTTTTTGTTGTAATTTTCTGTTGAGAGTGGCGTATTTGATTTGCGTTGTGTGTCCGTGTGTGAAAGTATATGGTAAATGGAAAAATCTAATCTGTTTTGCGTTTTCGTAATAGTCAAGTCTAAAAAATTAATAGAGTTATCCTGTTCAATCTCGAAAGTGAATTTTATAAGATTATGTAATGACATGCAAAGTCGTCATCCACGTATCTATACCACCATAGAAAACTTTTACTTAAAGGATGTTCTAGCATCATATTATCCAAATTATCGATAAAAATCTCGGCTAACAAAGGACTAAGTGGATTTCCCATAATCAAACCTTCCTTAGAGATGTAAATCTTTCCATTAAATTCAAAATAATTTTGGTCGAAAGATACTATTAAGCAATCTAACAAATCTTGTTTCACCAATAGGTTAACCTGTTTCCGATTGAGGGTGAAATCTAGTAAATCTATCACATCCAAAAGACAATAGTGTTGCGTTAGAAGGGATTTTGGTATTTTTAATTTTGTTGATTAATTCAAAACAATTTTTTACTGGAAATTTTGGTTAATCAATTAGATTTAAATACCTCTCCATTATTAAACTTAAATTCTCACAACAACATTAATTAACGTCTTATTGTCATTTTTCGGTATATATAGTACCAGGTAGTTTGTAAATATTGCATTTGATAAAGACACGATGTTTTGTTAAATGGATTTTTATCAGTTCAATTTTTGCAAATTAATTGTAATTCTAAGGCTACGACGCTTATACAGACTACAGGGTTCAACCGCGATGGAGTCGGGTGCAGCCAACAGTGAGGTTGTTCCGTTAGAACGCCGACATTGTTCGATTCTATTAAGTGGTGCCAGATTGTAAAGAGAGAGGTGGGGTGGGGGGGGGAGGGAGAGGGAGAGAGAGTGATAGGACAGGGGATGGGGGAATTTATCTTTTGCAGAGTGTTTCCCTTGTCCGGTGGGAGATTCTTGATGTTCACGTCATTTTGTAAGTCTTTCATGCCTGCTTGTTCATCTTTGGCCGAGTTTGTCGTCCTTTTTTTTCCTTTCTTCAAAACAGTTCTAATTTTCTATATCCTATAGCAGTTCCGGACATTCTTCCAGTTGTAACTTCTCTATGAAGCTTACCATATTCAAGTCCTTAAGTCCATGAATGATTCCTCGAAGATAGAATTTTTTATAAGTCTCTCTCTTTGTTATTGTTTGTTGTTTCAGGCTGCTGTTTTTCAGATTTAGGAAGCATCCTCTCATAATTCCGCTGAAGACTCTTTTGACTTTTTTGGCACAAACTCTATCGACCTTCTCGAATGTAAGTACGTGAGTTCTTTTATTTCTACAAGCCTCTATTGTTAGCCATTTTAAAGAACCAATTTCTTCGATCTTATTTGGTATCGTAAAAGTGGATTGGTGACGCGTGGTGGAATCTTATGGGAATGATGTTCCTGTCCCTCGCCGTGTGAGGATGTGGTCTTCCTCCTTGGTTAACTTGATCTTCGTCTTCTCGTAGCTCGTAATAAATAAACTTGATAATGGGTAGCGATACATTTGTCCGAAACGTCGTGTAAACAAAAAATAAAGACGATGGACAATCTCTTATTTATTTAGTATTTCTTTTGAATCACTGTCTGCCACATTCAAGCAAACCTTGACACTATTCTTTTCAGAGAACATAACGATGTTTCTAAGGACAAAACAACAACGCGCTAGTAGTATTTACTTTCTATATTTTTGGACGAGACTTGTATATTTAGTGAAGAAGCGTCTACAAAAAGCTGGCAAAACGATTCTCTACAAACAGTTCAGAAGAAATATGGTGAAGTGGTTCCCTATATAATTTCACATGCTGTGTCTAACAATGGCTTTGTGGGGTTTGCCAGTCTTATTTTCATATCGTTTTGAAAATCGAGATACTACTATGATGCAGTTAATTCAGTTAAAAAATTGAAAGGTGATTTATATTTCTTTTTTATGGGAAAAGTGGACTTATCCTAACCTATGAACAGAGATAAAAGTTCCTCCTGCATCAGAAACTCAATACTCATATGCTTTGATAAAAAACTAAAGGTGGTTCAGTTACCACTTGTTGCCTAATGGTAGAGAACCTTAATAAGTGAGGCTTGAGAAAGAGAAACGGAAAAGTTCGAGGAAGGTGTTCTAGTTTTTGTTCCCCTTCTTTGTTCTTTACGTTATGGGTTTTTGTTGTTGAAGCATGGGGAGTTTTTCAAAAATAAACTTATCTAATTGATATTTGTTTTCTCATGACCGGGTTTCTAGCAGCTTTTAGCATTCGTCGCACGACGACTAATGTGTACGTTGCAAAAAAAAATGTTCAATTAATTTTTAGGATTTCATAACGAACCCACATTAAAATAAGGAATTAATTAAAATCGAAACGCATCTAAAAATGGTAGCAATATGGCTAAGACATTCGAATCATTTTTGATTACGTCACTCTACGTGTCGTAATTGCACTACTGCTCTGGCTGGAGTTTAATCTGCTAGGGGCATACTCACCAGAAGAAGCACTTGAGACAGCACATGATCACCTTTGTAATTTCGTTGTCATATTTCTTCAGTTTGTGATCGATGTATTCTAAACATGCCCGTATTATTTTGCATATTGCAATGATCAGGGAGCCGAACGCGAGCGTACCAATATGGTATCTAAAATTACCACAGTATTAAACTAGAGTTTAAATAACTCTAAATAATAACCTACCGCAGAGTCCTATAAACTGCGCTCGTGAGAGCGAAGAACGGCAAATTTCTTTTTTGGAAGGTCCAGTACCACTGAGCGAATACCTGGGCCAGCATCATCTGGCCCATAGCCGAGATGAAGCATATCAACCAGAAGAATCCAAATACGTTTATCGCTGAAGGAAGAGGTGAATGTCAGTGAATATTAAATAAGAAATTATAGACTATTTAAAACAGTACAAAATGTTGAAATCTTCTAAAATTTTTAATGTATTGGGTGTTATAGTAAGGGTTTTACAATTTATCAGCGACAAACTTTCAGGTATGTTTTTCTTTTATTTTGTTTATCCTTTTTTACAACCTGAAGCAAAAAAATGGTTTTCAATTTTGTAAATCATTTTGAAAATGAAAGAAAAAGTGGAAAATAGGCAAACGAATTTCCAGGAAATAATAGCTAAAGAACTGAGAATCGGTTTAAGAAACGTGCAGAAATTTGTGCGTAAAAAAGCAATATAATACCGAAGAAGAAAACAAAAGATTGAATAATTTGTGGAAAATGTGAAAATGGACGTAATTTGATATTTGATTTATATAGACAAAAAAAAGAGTGTTCAATTTTTAATGAAATATAGTCAAAATTACATACCAAAATTTAGGAATGTGGTAATTTTAGAAGAAATGTGGACGTTTTCGAATAGATGTGGCACAAAATATTGGCAATTGATGAGTCTGTAAAATGTGTCAGGAGAAAAAGGAGTTGTGGCGGAGAAAGAGAAAGAATATAAAATTTTGGTAGTCTGTGATTTCTGATTTGATTCATATAAGGGACCCGCATGATAAAACCTGATTTGACTATTTACTATTACTATTACTATTAATAAATATGTGTCATAGTAAATATAAAGTAAATATGGTTTACTTGTACATTTACTCTTGCCAAATTATATTATATATGGTATATTTTCCATTTTTTTTTTTGGAATTTAACAAATAATCACAATTTTTTCATGGAGATTAATCTATCGTTACATAGAAAATACGTGAAGTACAACTGTTTCTGTCTCTCTTACTCCCAAGTAATATAATCGTGATCATTAATGACGGCTGGTTAAGATTCAATAATTAATTAATAATTAATTTACAGTTTTATTGTTTAAGATTCACGAACCTTTCTAAATGTCATTTACATGATACAATTTATTACAGATTGTAAAATACATTATCTATTTCATGTTTTTTTTTTATTAAAGTTCAATATATTATGTGTATACCTGTATACAGGGTGATTCTTTAGCAACATTTTATTGCATATTGTTATAGAACATACTTAACTCCAAGCTTTGTGGAAAAAATATTAAAAAAAAAATCATTATTACGCAAAATAACATTTCTACACTACTGTAATCGCGTGTATTCTTAAAAAATAATAATAATATTTTTTATTGACAATATGGGAGAACTGTAATACCTTGCAAGTATCCGTAAAACGATTCGTTTTCCATTCTTATAAAGCGGCAAGAAGTTTCTGAGCAGGCTGGGACGCGTTCAGGGATCGTGAAGTTGTCAGGATTGCAAACAGTTTTGTTCGGCTGAAAATTTTATATAAGATGAATCGCGGCACACTGCGGTACTGAGATAATCAGGAACATACGCAAGCATTTTTCTCATTTTTTTACTTTACCATATTATGATCCGATGTCAATCCAAAGGAGACTAGCCAAGTCAATGTTGTGATAAAAATTATAGCAAAACTAAACTCAGCCATCATAATCTACTAACTACTTAGGATTTTCAATATTCTACTTAATTTGATAGTATTAAATAAAATGCATGTAAAAACATATATAAAAATGAAATTATTGTTAATGTTATTTAATTTGTTATTATGTTTAACAGCCAAAAATTCAAATATGCGTCTTTCCCAAGTTTCAAATAAATTTAGATGGGATGAAATATATCTCATTTATTATTTGCTTTAGAAAAAAATGTTAATTATAAAAGTTGTAGGTAAGACTAATTATTTATTTAAAATTATTTTCAAATATACAGAGTGATGAATACATTGTATATTATTGCATAAGTAACTCCGTTTTATACTCAATGTAGTATTGCCGTTATGTGTGTAAGATTACTGTGTTTTCGGATTTATGACCATTTTTTCATCAAAAATGCCCTGTTTTTAACACTCTACATTTTTGAAGCCATTTCTGTAGTTTTATTGAACCAACACATGACTTGAAGTTCATTCGAATCGTTTGTACAGGGTGAGTCAAAATGAAAAATATTAATATTCGTGAAAAAATCAAATGTAAACTTTGTTTTCAAGGTATACAAACGAATAAGACAAGAAAAATAAAAATAAATTCCTTTCCTTCGATTATTCTGGAAATTTTGCCTTTCTTAAAGTACAAAATGTTATTGAACTATAAAATAATGTTTTGGTGTTAGCGTCTCTTGGCGCAAATGTAAGTTTTATGTAGGCTCTATTGCAGTACCAGCTGCTGCAGGTTCCTTTTTAGGGTTTTTGGTATTTCTCCGGTGCCACCTATTACCACTGGGACAACAACTACTGGCTCCATTTCCCACATGCGTCGGATCTCGTCTGCCATGATTTTCTCTGCACAGGTCTTTTCTATGTTTGAAGTTGGGGTACTGCAAAATCTACAATGAAGACTGTTCCCATATTTTTTAAGGTCAGGGGGATGTTGTTGGTATCTTTCGATCTGTTATTTCTTTTTGTTCCAGTACACGGGCTCGTTTTTTCACAGAGGGACGATGCGTCGTATTGGTAGTACTGCTGTCATGCTTGTCGAAATACAGCCGTGGTGCCAGCATGGAGCATCCGCTGAGAATATGATCCAAGTATTCTGGCTTGTCATTGCACATACGATACTTTAAGTTATCGAGTGCTTCATGTAATATTATTTGTGGCGATCACCTGGTCATGAATAGCGTGTTGAAATCCTCCTGTTTCAGCGAATCGAGCACCTCGATGCAGGTAAGCAATAGATGCCTCTCGTCTGATTCTATGCCTGCCAAGTATTTGTCATGCAATGGTTTGCTTATATATTCGTCAGCGTGTTAAAAGCCGGATCTGTAAGCTTTATCTTGGAAACATTTGTGGTGAGCTCGGTATTTCCGAAACTCATCTCTGGTGTTGGTGTTTAGGTCGTTAAGCTCAATTGCGTTCCAAGTGATCACCCCGAAGCTGTATGCAATAACCGGTGCTACATAGGCGTTGATGACACGGGCAGAAAGTTTTGATCGTAGTTTGCAGCGAGGCCTTTACATATATGATTTTGTCATTTGTTCCTTTGCTCTCCTATGGCCTATACACCTCTGCTGCAGGTAGCCCAAATACTTATACTGTTCGTGCGCTTCCATGCCCATCATCATTCAGTGGTATTTGTCAGTGACCCACTACCACCAAATTGCAAATTAAAGAGCTAAGGGTTTCCGCCGGGAATATAAGCCGCCTAATGGCGACCCATTCTCTGAGAACCACTGGGCATAGTAAGTGTTATTTGCGTCTCTCAGTGAGTAAGAAAACCTGTTTTTTTCTCATCTATTCCGTACACTATTATTATTAATATTATTACTTGTAAATTGGTTAAGGCTTTCGCGGCCCGTTGATAAGCTATTATCTTCATTCGGGTTTAAAGGCCGTCGTCGATTGGAAGTAATTCCAATCGACGACGGCCTTTAAACCCGAATGAAGATAATAGCTTATTATTACTTGTTTTGTCTAAAATAAATGACTGTACCACTTTGTAATAAATTAGAAAATTACACCTGTCGGAAACGGCTTAAAAATATGGCGTATTTAAGCGCGCATATTTGACGTAAAAATGGTCAAAAATTGACGATGACCTTACTTTAGAAAGGAATGAGTATAATGCCATAATGCATGTTCCATTAAAAGAATAAATTTGATTTCCCACATATTTATGAATAACCCTGAACATTTGAAAATAATTTTACATTGTTTATTTTTGTTTCGTCTACGACTTTCATGTTACGGGCTCGATTTTCGAGAAAAGTCAAAACTGAAAACCGCATCGTGATATGTCAAGGCGTTTTTGAGCTACAGAATGATTCTCAAAAATGTACGATTTTAAAGGCCCTTAATAACTTTTTTAATTGTAAGAACAGAGTTTTGGGAATAAACATTTTTTTAAGTTTCTTAAATCTCTCTATTTTACTCATTTTGTCTTAGAGCCTTTAGTTCCCGAGATATCACACGCAGTTATATTTCTTTAAATTGGATACCCCCATTTTTTCTAAAAAATCTAAATATATAGCTATCTAGATACCGTAAAACTGCATAGGTCAGAGTTACGCGCAGCCTACTATGATAATTATTAAAAATTGTAGATATCTTTTTAGCAACTTAATAAAAATAGGTGTATTGCACATCGTGTGACAAGAAATTTTATTAGAATTTTCTTTTTCAAATTGAGGTGTTCCATTTAAAAAAATGCAACGTTGTGTTATATCTCGCGGCTTTAAGACAAAATCGATTAAACAGGTAGATTTGCTCTTAAGAAATCTTCAAAAAATATTTTTAATAAAAATCTCGATCTTTACAAATAAAAAAGTTATAGAGGGTTTTTAGACATGCACGTTTTTAAGAATTACCCTGTAGTTCAGAAACCCTTTGACATATCATGGTGCGGAAAATCGAGCCGGTAATATGCATATTAGTTTTGGGCTAACTACGCTGAAAATGCTTAAAGCCATAGAGACCCATCGAATTTGGACCACCTTGTACATATGCACAAGTCTGCTAGGAACATTTTTTTCGTGCTGATTTTTCGCGCAAAGTAGAGTAAAAAGTTCAACTTACATATCCCGCATTGGCACATTCCTTCGAAGCAAATCGAATTTGGTATACCGGCTGTCCCGTGGTGGCAAGATACAGTCCAACGCAAATAGCGTAAGCGATAACACCCACTTCAAGTATCCAAGGAAATATTGGGAAAAACAGAGATGAAGTTACCGAACTAACCGCCCTAGAAATAAGAACTTTCAATGAAAGAAAATCATTAGCTTTTCCGAAAGGTACTTTTAAAAATTTGCAAACAAATCGTAATTTGCTTGCAAAATACAAACGCCCTGACACTCATTTGGTATATTGCTCAAGAAAAGACCTTTCCAATTTTCTTTTTTTGTTTGTTATTTTTTTTACATTTTATTTTTGCTTTGATAAACTCCACTTTGGGAACAATTGGGTTCGTGAACATAACCACTAAAATACAATTTTAAACGGATGGTAGGAAAATTCAAAACCAAAATCGAAAAAAAAGCGCCCACAGATAAAATACATTATTACAAAAAGTGGCAATTATATATTAAAATAAATAAAATTTCAAAAAAAATTAGGATTTTTTCTAATATTTTCAGAAATATTCACACTTTCTTATGACAACTTCTAGAGAGTTAGTCCATTTTAAACAGTACAAAAAATGGACAAACTATTCGTTCAGTTTCCCATACGTGTTTTCTGGACCACGTCTATACAGCATGAGATGAATAAAGCAAATTTTTTGATCTAAACTCTTTTATTGACAATATTTTACACCCTTTGACAGTGCAAGGATTGATCTCATCGTATTATCTAGGAACATATTTCAAACCACCCCCTTTCCTTTATGCCAATTTTCAAGCGTACACACGCTCCCAATATTTTCTTTTTCTAAGGTTAATAGTATCTTTAAAAAGCTCATTTAATAGTAACAATAAATATAATATTGGAAAAGGATTAAACTTATGGGTTATGTAAGTCCTTAAATTGTAAAAAGTAAGTAAATACTTTTTTTCTAATTTGATTATTTTTCTTTAAGTTCGTTAGTATTACATGCTCCTTTGCCGAGTTTAAGTACTATTACTAAAGAGCGGAGAAAATGCAAAATTATTTTTTTTTGCATTTTTTGAGGTTTTTTTACCCAACATAGGGTATTCCCATTAAAAGCCAAAGGCTTCTTGTCACAACAATGCAAACAGAATCCGTAAAGCGTCAAGATAGTGTGACGGTTTAAAAATTGGTAGGAGTATACTGTGTGGTGGTGATGTGCGGAGCGCCCTCTATTGCCAATTGTCGGAGACGAAGTCGGCAAAGGAGCGCGGAGTGGCCAGTTCCTTTTTTTTGGTGTGCTTCGGTACACAACAACAATTTAAGTGTTCCAAGATTTGTTCAAGAAACATTAACCGATTTTTTTTACCAAACAGTGTTCCGACAGAAAAATTCATAATCCTTTAAAGTTTTAAACACTTAATATGGAGAGACTGTATAAAAAATCAGCCTCCATTGGTAAATGACTTAATTAAACAAGTGAACGTATTTATTTATATTTATTTATATTTATGTAATTATTCAGAACATTTATCGAACCTCTACCAGAAGAAAACAGTTTATTATGCACATATTTTTTTCAGCACTCCGATATAGAATAATTTTTTGGGACAGTAGCGCAGATCCGAATCGTGCATTTATGGCAACAATACGAACCATCTTGAAACTGCCCTAACGACATTCTTGCAAGAATAGGATTCACGAATTGAGACTTCTTACATGGCAAAATAGGTAAAAATATGTAAGAGCTGTAATATATACAAAAACAAAATAAAATAGTACTTTGTCATACATGTCAAACCGTTATAGTTTCCAGACTACTGGAAACTAGACCTCCAAAACCTTCTAGAAACTAACCTGCTACCCTCTTTAATTAGGGCGATCGCCAATAGTATACGCTTCCTCAAAAATAGCAACATCAACACCACTACGGAGAGAGCAATGCACACCAAGATCAGAGTCGCCAACCATATATCTCGCTTGGTCTTGTACGAAGATTCTTCTTCATCGATAAAACGTTGCTTCCACTTTACGTATTCCTTATTGGTGAAGTAGATAGCTGAAATAGAGACACCATAATTAAAGTGTGGAATCACGATGATAATTATTTCTCACCAGCTGACAGCGCGACAAGAACACCGACGATCGATATCCACACCATCGGGGCGGCGATCCATCTGGAAAAACCGTAAAAAAAAACGTTTTTTGCCTTCGGCAGCTATTGTAGCCAAACATGAGGATTACCTCAGCATCATAATGTAGATTAGGCATACCACGAGAGCAATGACAACCCCTATCAGTATTTTCCACCAAGACTCTACGACGTCTGCAATGACTTGCTCAGCGACCTAGAGGAGATTTGTACCTTAACGTCTTTGCTTCATTTAGAAAGAAAATGCATAATTGGAATCAGGCTATCAACTCAAATCCAACGCTCATAACGCAGACTTTGTCATTTGTAATTTGATCTGAAGCTCCGTCACACAAAATCGCAAATATCGATATTAATTGAACTATTTGTTAAGCAGATGGATACATCATGAATAATTTTTAAAATTGGCCTTAGTTACTAATAGAAAAGTTGTATTTCTTATGATTATGTCCAACTGGGTGATCTGGAACTAATAATCTCATTTTACAGGGCGGCGCGATAGTATGGGAAGCACTGTATCCGCGTCACTGGTATGGTTAACTTAAGGCAGTGTAATGAAATGAATAGGTATTAAAAATAAGAGAAATCGAGAAATCCGTAGGAATACGAGGTTAGCGCCAAAATTTCCCGGTCTGACATAGATGCAGCTCCTGTATCACTATAAAACTTTGTCTTCTTTTCAATATGTATCTTAGTAGGCTGCCAAAAAAAAATGAAGTCTTGCGTCAAATCGTTTTTTATTGACAGCATTTTAAACAAGACGTGTTCGAAAAAATGTCGCACATAACGCAAATTAAGTATAGAGCAGACATAAAGTTTTTGAGAAAAGAAGGGTTAGCACCGAAAATTATTAAAGAAAGGCTGAATGGTGTGTACGGCCAAAGTTCTCCTTTGTATTCTGTAGTGAAGAAACGGGCAAAACGTTCTCGAATGGGGCACGAGTCCCTTGAAAATGATTCAAGCACTGGGCGACCAGTGGAGGTCATAACGGAAGATATTGTTGCGATTGTGGAAGAGGTGGTATTGAGTGATCGACGTTTAAACGTCAAGGAAATCTCAGAAATTACTAAGCTTTCTGATACAAGTGTTCGTCCAATCCTGCATGATCATTAAGTTTGCATGCATAAGATTAGTTAGTGGGTCGGAAGATGAAACTATGATTCTTTATTTTGACCCTCTATCGAAAAAAGAATCAATGGAGTGGTGTCGTAAGGGTGAAGCACGCCCAAGGAAATTCAGAGTCTGCCAGTCAACAAAAAAGGTGATGGCCACCATCTTTTGGGATTGTGAAGGAATTTTTTTGATAGAATTAAAAGAAACTAATACCACTGTCAATGGTAAATATTACCCAACATTATTACATAAATTGCAAGACTGCATACGTGTAAAACGTCGAGGAAAACTGACCAGAGGCGTGCGTCTTTTGCACGATAATGCACCTGTCCATACTGCTGGTGTTGCACAAGCTGCCATTTTAGAGTGTGGGTTCCAACAGAGAGATCATCCTCCCTATAGTCCAGATATGGCCCCCAGCGACTATTATTTGTTTATATATTTGAAAAAGGACTTACGTGGATTTTGCAGACAAACCAAAAGGACAGTTTTTTTAAAGGGATTGCGTTGTTAATAAAGAGATGTAATAAGTGTATTGAAGTTAAGGGGGATTATATTGAAAAACAATAAAAAAAATGTTACTCTACTTTGTTTTTTTCGTATTCAGGCCGGGAAATTTTGGCGCCGCCCTCGTAAGTATGTAGTTTAAATTTATTTTCTATTTCATAGTGGCGCTTTCTTGATATAGAGTGATGAATGTTTACAGTTTTTTGTAAAAAAAAGCGAGTATTACAGATAAACATGAATTGATAACTTTAGGAAAACTTTAACAAAAATCGAAGAGGGTCGATTTCTGAACACGCGCTTGACAATTATATACAGGGCTCATTTTTAACAAAATAAAGTCACCAGGTTAAAAAAAATGGAAGAAAGGAAAGGAAATCCGGGTTTTGGAAATCTTTTCTATTTTTTGTCCAATATTTTTGCAAAGTCAAATTAAAATGATATAGATATGATTGATATTGATTAATGATATAGATATTGTGTTCTATTTAAACGTATAGGTTTTTCCATTGCCAAGCTCTTATGAAACACCTTTTTTAATTGAGATCATTTTGAAATGTTCCTTCTTTCGTTTTCACGAAATACTTAGTTGCTGCAATATTGAGCAACCCTGTGTTTTTTATTTCTCAGTGATCACTAAGTTCGTCAAAAAAATCACAGTTCGTTAAACTTGCCTTAGGAACATTTACTTAAATTATTGTGGAATTTTGGAGCATTGTTTGTAATGCAATCAAATACAAACCTAAGAATGGGTTAATAACCTGAATCCAATTGCCCATAGAGCAATAGCACACCCAGTACTTGAAGCAGGAGTTTTTGGGACCAAACTTTTAAGTAAGGAAGCAGTTTCCGCAAATGAACCTTATATACAGGGTATACAGGTATACATTAAAAAAGTGAAAGTATGCCTCAGTATAATATCTCTCATAGTTCGCTTTTTGAAGTATAGACATCTTACTAATGAGTGACATTTGACTGGGGCATATTCGAATCACATCAGTATTTTCACAAGTTCAATCTAGGATAGCTTATTCATACCTTTATAGCGGATGGTATGTTTTGCTAAAATGATGTCTCGTGAAAAAACTTATTAGAAAGCACGATTGTAGAGTTATTTTTTTAGAACAAGTACGGAGCGCCCTCCTCCCAAGAAAGACGAAACTAATTAAAACATAGAACTCCAAAAACCAAGGACATACAACAAGGAAGCCACAGTATTAATTAGTACGTGCAATGGAACATTTTTCCCGCGGGAAATGTCACTTTTCCGCACCCTTCTTGAAATAAAATTAAAAATCGCCATAAATAATAATGCTTTTTTTAAGCACCCGTTTTTGTGCGCAAAGTGACACTTTCGCAAAAAACTACTTGGATCTACAAATAATAAGAAGCGGGGAACCCCGAAAATTTTCGTGCATAAAAAATATATTTGTACATTTTTTCAATTCAAATGTCAACGGAAACGGCAAGAATCGAATGATTGCTTGATGAAAAAAAAAGTTATTAAAACGCCAGACAAAAACAGTAACGAAACAAACACATTTGACAAAATGTCGGTAACCTCCTCGGCGTCGGATAACAATTTAATGTTATCGATAGCTTTCTTCAAAGTATCGACCAAATCTTTACCGTCCTTGAGATACTCCTCGACGTCCTTAATAAATGTGCGATTCAGTTGAGAAAGCGAAGGAATACACCGTTTTTGAACTAGAAAATAAAAGCATTGATGAGTTCAATTTAACAGGCAGTTATTGTTACATTTATTGTCATTTACAAAGAATCATTTTGGAAATAGTGAGAGTAACGGCAACGAGGTACCAAGAAACAGATGTTCCTAAATTTTATATAAAAAAATGGCCGACAGAGGGCGCAATTGCCACCTTAAATTTTAAAAGTCGTTTTCTGCAAAATTTTCGTATATCCATGATACTTTCTGATGAATGAATTGACGTCAAACAAAGAGCCCAACATATATTATTCGAGCCTAAAACATAAATAAAAGAATTGAAAAATCAAAAAAAGGTGAATTTTGGTAAGCATCTCCACCCTACACATTTTTTTTAAATAAAAAATTAGATTTAGTCACTCGTCAATACTGTCAATTGTAGAAGGCAGAAAACCCCAAAAAGATAAAGCAGTTTGATTCCTAATTATCTAAGTTGCAATTAAACAAAAATTGACGCCATATATATACGCATCTCTTACGTCATTTCATGCTTGTCAAAATCTCTATATAGTCAGCCTTTGAATTTATCGAAGCGTTGAGCTTTCTTACTGTGATTGTGTTTATTGCATTAAAAACGTCTTATTCGACGGCTACATGCTGGTAACGTTTTCTCGATAGGAGACTTTTTAGGAGAATGGTGTTTAGTCCTTCCTAATCCAGTACCTAGGCCACTATCTACACCTTTATCATATTGAATTTAGCTAACCAAAACTGAATTTGACGGGAGACTAGATTACTGTAATTGGCTATGGCTATGGTAGATGAGGATGAAAATTATTTATCTTGATCCCGGTGAAGCTACTTTTGTTATTTGAACTTTTTAAGCAACCACTTGCCCATTTTATTAGGAAACGGACCGTTACAAACGAGAAGAGGAACACGATTGTTAGAATTTTTTTAGACCAGACATATAGAAGGGGAAGTTTGTTTCTATTAAACTACTTGGTAAAACCATCGATGATAACGTGGTAGGCTCCGTTATGTTGTGCTGTTTCTAGCATCACTCTAAGCTGGCCGGTCAGCTTTGATATTGTAAAACTGCGTGTGAAGCGTTCCTGTAAAAAGGGCTTTTATAATGCAAAAGAGGGCTTTTGATGCAGATCACAGCAAGCCTTGTCGCCCCTTTTCCTTTCAACACATGCCTCTGCCATGAATCTAAGTGTAAAAAGAATTGTCTAAATTTTACGCTTTTGTCCACTAAATTCAAACTCAAATTTCCACCCAAATGTAAACATGGGACCTTCTTTTTTGCACGACTTCGTAATTAAAACTTGATATTCATCCTGTATTTTGAATATCGGTGTTGTGAAGTTATCTGATGAAAATCGTACTGATGATGTCAAAATTTCCATTTCGATCAAGTTTGACATCACGCAAAAAGGTAACGTAAGCTCTTGAGAAGTGAAGGTATATGGAGAAATGAAAAATAATTGAAGAGCGGTAAAACTCATAGCGTATTGAAACCATTTAGATCGAGACGTTTAGTTGTAGAAATGAAAAGAGATAGATGATAAGAATACACTAGAGTGTATCAAACTCTTGACTGGAACCTTCGGCACACAATAACGCGTTGGCATCTTCAGGAGAAGATTAAAACTGGACTTTATTACCCTTATCTGCTTTTAAATAAAAACAATTCTTCTCTTTTAACCCCCTAACAATATTTTTGGACCAACGAATTTGTTTGGTTTTATAATTACCTTTATTTCGATTGCTCTCGGACAAATCCTTTTGAGGAAACGGGTAAATATTGAATGCTGGACTCAACACTTACCACTTGAGTGTAGGCTACCCAGTCAATCTTTTTATTATTGTTGTTTTGCAATAAACTTGTTCTAATAGGATAAACTGGTACCTATTCTAAAAAGAACATAGTAAATCTTTCCTTCTAGGGTAAAATTTTCGAATATTAGCCACAAGGGGTGGAAGCAGCTTTTAAATATTTGCAGAGAAAAAAAGCAGCCGGTGAGTATGTGATTCCGAGAAGAGTTCACTCTTAGACGGATCCCCGAAAAGAGAACAAATAATGATTATTATGGGAAAACCTTGATATGAATTTTGGATGGAGGGTTGTATTTTTAGCTTGACAATTTTAATTTCATCACAATTTTTTTCTTCTAGTAACTTCTCTCTACGGGGCTCGGCCCAAACTCCTGAGGTCCAGTTTAAGCGCAATTTTTTGTTGAATTAAAAACTTCCTTCACCATACTGAATGCATTCGAAGAAATTGCTACTAGAAAAATTAAGCATGCATTCTATATAATTCTGGTAGACTATACGCAGTCGCGGCTGATATCAGCTTCAACTCTTTATAACCTTGTGGATGTTTACGTCGTCGGAAAAGACGGACAGGACATTGTGGGTCGCCATGCCGAGCCACACGTGGACGAGATTCATTCGTCCACGCAAAACTGCGAGCTGATCACCATCGACTACGATCGATTTCTCGAAAGATCGATTCCTTGCGGCCACGTTGTACAAGCAGCGGCTTAAAACTGCATTAGAACGTAGGATTGTACTACAAGTAAATTCGACATAGTTTAAGAGTGGCTAAAACTCCAGTGGATTAACGTTGTTTCAAAAGTTAATATCCGTGACAAGTATAAGACAGCATAAAAGTTAAAGTAAAGTAACATAGCAAAATATCATTAAAAAAACTTATTCGGAATCAAATTTTATATTAAACTGTAAAATAAATAAATAAATCGTTGATATGAAAGTGAACATCTTCGCAGTGATTATTCACAAGAAATAATGTGACCCAATTACAAGGTTCAAAAAAAGTTTCACTTTTGGGATATACAAAGGATTTCTCTGGAATTCCTCGCAAAGACAAAATTTATTTTGGGGTATATGGCATTAATGAACAGCAGGATACTTTTCTGCTAGTTTTGGCCCCGTCTTCTCCGGCCAATCGTTAGTGACGTTTCTGTCGACATCACGGGCTTCGCCACTTTTCTGTCCATAATTTATACCATGTCTCTGTTTGAACTTCCCCAACCATCCTTCCGAAGCCTTGAAATCGATAATGCTAAGCTGAAAAAGCCAACAGGATGATTGGCGAAACGTCAGCAATTTCGACTAAGCAAACACCGACGCAGGAGGAATCCAGAAGTTTTGTAAAAAGCGTAAAATGCAATACCAAGACGTTGCTGTTGGAACCACTGCAACATTGCCCGATCCAAATCTTCGAATTTTTGCTTTCTTAGCTTTTTTACTAGAACTGCCCGTCGCTTGGTATTATTTTTTGAATTGATGAAGTTTGGATCATTACTGTAGTGGTGTTGAGACTGTTATTAAAATACAGATTTTTCTTCACTTTTGATTCGTTGGCTATAGCCTAGATAATTCCGTTTCTTAATTCCTTGTAATTATCTGGAGACTACTATATGCACTTCAAATAGTGGTGATTCATATTTGTATACCTAATTGCTATGTATGAATCTCATTTGCTCTTTTTTGTCACTGTGGTTTAATATTTCAATATAAAATTTGCTTCCGAACGTGTTTATCTTTATAGTTGATTCAACTATGATTTTTAAATGTTCAAGTAAGTCAAAGAGATTTTAAAATCTTTACTTTTTAAAAACAATAGAACTTAAACTCAATTTTTGATTATTTTTATTAACTGGCTTTGCCTTTCCTTGTGCAAAACGGAATGACTTTTTTCCAAGTACGGCATCAGAAATTTCTTGCACCAAATATTATCTTTGGAAAAAATACGCGACCTAAATGCTCCATTCTGGAAACCGACTCTTCAGAGTTCAACTGTTTAAAAAGTTTTCTAAATGGTGTTAAAGTAGCCCGTGGAAGTTTCTTTGAAAAATTCAAACAAATATTGTCATTTCATATAAAATAATTTACCTGACTCGCTAACCAGGTACCAGGTGGGACAGTCGTCCTCATTGTAAACGGATGTTCCATATTTGCAGAACAATACAGCTTTTTCGGTGTCGTGGACGTCTTTTAGGAAATTCTCGTCTGGACACGATTTCACACATACCTATCCAAATGCAGACATTATCAATCAATCAATTCGACACTCTAATATAACAAAGCTGTGAGATTATACCAAGTTGGTTTTCAGAAAAAATAAATCAGAAATTTCACGCTGACCTTGCGTGCCATCACAGGACCACTGAAAACCAAAGAGCAAGAGGAGCTATCAAACCAGCAAAGATCAGAAAAGCAGATGAAATTGGCACGCAAATATTTAAAATGCTAGAATATAAAGGAATCATAGGAATGGCAAAGCTCTTCAACCAAAACTAGAATAATGCCAGGAGATTGCTTAAAACACTGGTTGGCAATGAAATCCGCGTAGTAAATACGCGCATGCGCAGTATTCATTGTGAAACTACAACAGTTCAGTAAAAACTTGTCGTTTAATTGTTTACCTTTTATATCAAATATTTTGGTAAGTTTCGCATAAAGTTCATGTTCTCTACATTGGATTTAAGTATTTGATGTGTAGTTTGAGTATTTTTTTTTAAGTAGAGTCAATAAATATAAAATAAAAGTTTGAAAGTTGTTTTAAAATTAATTTTATGTGATTTTAGGTTACAAAATGCCACGGACTTGTAAAAATTCCTCAGATTGTTTTTGCCACATTTGTGGGGAATACATACTAAAACACAACATGTCATGATCGATCTGGTTAAAACAGCTTATAAGCTATATTTTGGATTTTCTATCGATGAGCGAGATAAAAGTTGGTTTCCAAAAGTATGCTGCAATAGCTGCTGAAGAACGTTGAGAGGTTGGCTTGAAGAAAGTCACAAACCCATGCCGTTTTCAATGCCAATGATTTGCATGACCGCTACACGAGGATTCTCGAAAAAAAAATAAGATTGTTTATCCGTACGTCCTATCTGCAAAGAGACCACCTCGTGATAAAGACACTCCACCTCCAGTTCCACCAGTTAAAGAGGAAGCTGAAAATAAAAATATTTCAGGTCTACAATCTCAATCGAGTAGTACATCTTCATCTTCATACACTTTATCTGGATCTTCATGTCCATCTACAGAAGATCATTTACTTTTATTTATTGTTTTTTGATGAAATAAATATTAAATTAAAAACCTACGTGTGGTACTTATTTGTATATCAGATTCCGTGTTTAGAGCATAAAATAAGATGAAGATGATGCATGAAAACAAGAAGGAGAGAAAACAAAAATTTTTTGCAGAGCAGTGAAATCAGTCTTCGTTATGCTGAAGAATATACCAAGGCATTTCAGTTCGAGTCCAAAGGCACCGTAATAAATTACTGCAAAGATTCACAGCTGGCACTGTCGATAATAGGGCAGGAGAAAGGGCAATAGAGATTTGAACATTTTACTGCATGTGGAGGAAAACAAAATTTAGTACGAGGATTCTTGAACAAGCTGTAAATAAACGAAAATTTTCCTATAAATACGAAAAGCACCAAGAGGTTCGGAAAGGCGACGAAGTAAGAAGAGCAGCATTTTGTTTTGAATGATCTTTTTTAAATATTCGTTTTACTGTTGAATTGAACATTCACAATCACCAACGAACCAAATGTTCTGGTATTAGAGCTAAGATAATGAATATCATTTTGTCCATACGCGAAGCCAATATTACCAAAAAAAAAAATGTAATAGTCATAATGAACATCATATTATTGGACTTATTACAAAATCAAATTGAACCTGCACTAAAACAAGTTGTTCGCGAAGATTAGGTGATGTGCTGGGTCTGCATGGTTGTCCCGCCCGTAATTCTCGCTTGGTTAGTTGTGGTAAATAATTTGAATAGGAATATTATCGGCCCGAGATGCCGAATCCTTTGACTGCCCAGGTCACCAGACCTCTCGCTGAACGACTTCTTTCTGTGGGGTCACTTGAAAAGTGTTATCTATCAAAGTGTTAAATTTGAAAATATTAGCCAATTAGAAAACGCTATTTCCCTAGAATGTGACATCATTTCACAATATCAAGTAAGCGAGGTTAGAAACGAATTTTATGATCGCTTAGGATATGGTTTAGCTGTTAAGAGAGTTAATAGAGAGTATGAGTTTGATCCTAAGAAAAACCCACATACCTAGATACTTAGTTTATTTTAAATGTGTGAAACGTAATGTGCATGTCTTTATTGTAAACCAACCTTAATTTGATATGTCATTGTCATTGTCCTTGACGTCAATTTTTGGAAATGGTGTCACGGAAAATATTCGCCGGTGTTTGTTTCATTGCATTGTATTTAATTCAATAATTGATGAGTGGTTTATTAAAATTTATTCAAACTCGGCACATGAGTTGATCATAGCGGCCCCTTCAAAAAGCTACATTACACCTACAATATTTATCCACCAAAAAATTTACACTGGATTTAATATGTTTGCTGGGCAGATTCGGAGATGGGACTTCAATTATAATGTAGATATATGCAGAATTGAATTTTTATTTTTTTATTTTCATTTTTAGTGGTGGAAATTTGTGGGTCTTTTTTATGACTCGATTCTCATGACTTTATTTTGAAATCTCTGTATGATATCTAAGTTTGATTAGGAGGCAGATCCCAATAGTTGTGAGCCCTATGTTCAGTTTCTTATTTTATAGTGACAATTGCGATTTTCTACCAATTACCCAGTAGCGCTCTTGTGGTCAGAGCCCCAGATGCTTTCTCTAATTGAATATGTGTGTTCTCGATGCTAATCGTTTGTTTAGATGTATAATCAGATACTTTAGGCTCTTTACTTATGTTGACGGGGTGTTGATTATTACTAGTGGAAGACAGTGGTCTCTTAGATTTTGATTTGTTGCATTTTATTTTGCACTTCTTTAGTTCTATTTTATTTAAATTATTGCACAGATTCCTGGTTGCTGTTTCTAGGTTTGATGAGTTGCCACATCATCAGCGATATTGGAGACTGTGGTTTCATTTGTGATTGGTTAGTCGGAGGTGAACAACAGGTACAGTACTGGTCCTTGAGGTCCTCCGAAGTTCATTTCATGTATATCCGTAAAATTAAGTATGATTTGAGTATTTCATAAAAGTAATGTGCGAAACAAAAGCTTTTATCTTCCAAGTCGTCGCTAACTTTCTTAACTACTCGCCAATGCACCGTGTCGTGTTTCTTAAGAAATACAAACTGATGATGCGGTATAATATTTTTGCTTGTCTTACGAATACTTTTTATAATATTGGAATAAGGCTTATTGGTCCATATGAACCCAGATCTTTTGAAGTTTTACCGGGCTTCGGAAGCATTATTATTTCAGCTACTTTCCATTGTCTGAGTCGCATAATGACATTAAATATTTGTTTAATTGCTTTTTTTCAGTTTCAGTTTTCAGTTAGGTTTTGGAGAATCATTCCTGTTATAAGGTCATATCCATTTCTTTCAGAATTGTTTCCTTGATTTCTCGGTAACTGAAATTCCTTAACGGGTTTATCCATTTGAAAAATGGATTCTAGGTAATTGTTAATTACGTTCGTATCCTCTTTGCTGGTTTCTTCAACGCTAAATGCTAAATTTCTGTCAAACGCAACAGCTTTCTCCTTGTTACTTTTCTCCCACTTTCCATCTTGATTGACGGTGTAGGTTGCTGTGGTCTATTTAGCTTCGTTGTCGCCCGCCGAAGCGAGCAGTTGGTTAGTTTGGTTGTTCCTGAACTGTGTCATTTTTTCTTTTAACAATAGATTTTTAGTATTATGGTATTTTCATCATATAGCTGCTTTTTAAAGTATTTTTGTGAGATTATGTAGCTCCCATTCTATCTCATCAGATGTTTATCGTGATATATTATGATTTATGTGTTTATCGATTTTACCATGAAATAGACTCACTCTTTGAAGCACATTGATAAAATTATCGGTGAATGTTTAAGCTGATTACTTTTATCATAAAAAACTCTATTACGTCTGGAATTTTTTGTGGGGGTCACTTCGCCGGTAAGTAGGTTCACCAGTCTCTACGTGGTTTAAGTTATATGTTCTTATTGTAACAAATAGCTCTCGCCCTTTAGTTGTCATAAAAGTTTTGATAAGTGTCTTGAAGAAGGTTGAGCACTATTCTCGTTTGTATTTGTGTTTTGGGTGCCAGTAAACAGCGGATATGTTTAGAGTACCTTTGCCAGTATTTATAGCTCTTGTTGTAGCTTGTGGGCGTCCTTTTGAGTAAGTTTCTGATTCGCAATGTATCACATCTGGTTGATTTGTTTGGTATATATTAAAAAAGATTTTAGTTATTGAAAATTTTGATTCAATCCACTGGCGTTCTGGTATTATGATAATTTGTTGACCAGAACTGTAACAATTTGCGTAATGTTTCTGGATACTTTTTAGTACTACTCTGAATGCCTTATCAGGTTTCAGTGTATAAGTATGAAATTTTGTATTATTTTGTTGTAGGGCATTTGTCTTGTTCTAGGTTTCTCCTGTTTTCGGTTGTACTCTAACCTGTTCACTCCCTAGTGCTATTTAGTAGGTTCGTCAATGGATTGATAGTTAGGTTTTTTTTTTCGCCGCTTTTTTCCCGCCCCTGGTAGGTTGTCATATATATTATTAGAATTAGAATAGAATAATCACTGCGATCTGCTGCTCAAACGTCTAGAAGGATTCGTCATATCATGCGTCACCATGAGAAATATGCCATAGTACACCTCCCAATAGAGGGAAAAATAAAAAACGAGATGTCCTGGAAGAAGAAGAATTTCTGATGCTGATAGTAAAACAATGATTGCTAATAGGGTGGACAGTTTGACACCGGGGCACTATAAGAAGAAGGTAAATTGTTGAAACGATGTGAAACCAATCTTGATTAAAATAAAATTACTTGCCTGTTCGGTCCTGCAGCCAGTAATGGGGGTTGTGGGGGCAAAACATTTGGTCAAGTCGAAGAAAAACAAGTATGGCCGATCTTTGACATCGGAGTCCATGCCGCATCTGCGTCCGGAAGAATCACGTGGAACGAGCAGCGTCGACGGGTCGCCATTAACTATCGCTATAAATTAAAGCAAAATCTCAAGTTAGCTTATACGCAATTATAATTATAATTATTACATATGAAGGATATTTTTTGTAATTGATACCTTTATTTGTATATTATAACTTACAATAACGACAAACTCCCAAAGCTCTAACTCTAAAAGCTGTGTAAGTCCTTCCGGTATATTTTTTCTTGAGTATTTTTTGCAGTAAATAGAAAATATACAGTGCTGGCGGAAAAAGTGGATGCGAGCACCAAGTTTTTTTTAATGGTACACCATTTGTTTTAATACATTTCACGCCATTCTAACCTTTTAGCTTCGTTAGCCTAGTTACCCTATACACTTTTTATGAGCAAAAGAATAAAATTTCTGTCAGTAATGAATGTCAATATGGAGCATCTAAACGGAACCCAGAGAATTAAAATTATAATTACTATTTACAAAACTTTTGGAATACTGACGTTTCGCCAATCGTCCTCTTGGCTTGGCTGCTTCAGCCCTGAAGAAGATTTGTAAATAGTATTACAACACCCTGTGGAAGTTTCATTGAAAAGTTAAAATTTTTGTTTTTATTGTAGACATGTAGACATACAAACAGACAGACATACATTTGACAATACTAAGAAACAGGTTAGGTTAATCTAACAAATAAAAATTATGAACATTAAAAATCGAAATTAAAGCTTGCATTTGGGTTTTAAATATGTGGCCATTTTTTTAAAATTCATTGACACTCATTTTCATAAGCTTTTATAGCCTTTTAATGAGACCACGAAAAAAACGCAGCTATGAGCTGGTATTCTCAGATTTTCTCCATTTTGTGCGTTAAAAAGGCGTATTTGTGCAAAACATTCTTTGGGGGTGTGAAATTGACCATAATGGTCATAGATTTTTGCATTCAATATACTGACTATGTATGTTGCGGAAAGCATTGTGGATACGCGTTACTGTCATTGCTGTAACCTTCGTCGTCCAGCTCGCATGCTTCTTCAGTTCATAACTGGATAAAAGCTGAACTAAACCAAAGGAATTTTCATTATTTTTTGGGAAGTCGACATTCATGCGGCATGCACGGGGAATAAAATCGAGAGAAAATAAAACCACCACCTCTACCACCAGACCGTCAGAAACCAAGGAGAACACAGGATTGATCATTTTATTAGAAGTTGAGGATAAACCGGGTCGTGCATCTTCTGAACTAACTTCGAATAATAATGATAATCGACAAACAACTGTGGGCGTATTAAAAGTATCAGCCGTACAAGATTACAAGACCTCAAGGTTAATAGACCATAGACGCCGTTCGTTCGCTATCATGCGATTTAACTGCGCTAGACTTTTTCTTGTGGGGTTTTCTAACGTCGCAGGTCTATACCAATAAGCCGCAATCTATAGAAAGAAATCGCTGAAATTCAGGTGTAACTATGAGCAAGAGTAATTGAAAATTGGACCATAATGATCCGTGTCACCGTAACAAGCCACATGATGTTATATTCCATAAATAAAAATTGAGTTACTATCTCATACACAACTTGTTTTATCGACCCTATAGAATATCATCCCCAGAAAATTACAGACAGCAGCGACGAAGAATCGCCTTTATATTTCCCGACAGCCAGCGAGGGCCATCAGGAATACCACAGGCAAAGCCAAGAAACCTAAAGTGCGTCTCTTAGTATGACAAAAGCAAGTTTGAGAAGTAGGAGGGATTTAAATTTAGAATGTGCCATATGCCGCGTGCTTCTTAAAAGTTACACGGGGAGGGCCGACTTTGCGGACTTTGTAATTCAGAAAGCAGTTGCGAAGATTCAGATGAGGAGCCGGAGGCATCATATACCGATAACAACTATTAGGATAGAACCATTAACATGTTTTCTTGAAATCATTGTTTAATTTTAAAAGCAGGCCAGATTTGTGAAAATCTACTTTATTTCACAAGGTTTCATTCTTTTGCTCATGAAAAGGAAGTACGTTATGTTACATGACTGAAAAAAAAGGAACTTGGTTCGATATCCACTTTTTGACAGACCCGTTAACTGCAAAAAAAAATTCTCAAAATTCAATGACTTTTAAATGAATTTGATCCATATTTTTGACGTTCACTGTATAGAAACAAAAGTTTTATGTTGCATTTGTGTTTCCAATAACATAAACTCTGACAAATGGATAATTCAAATTTATAACGCTGGTTCAAATATTACAGTGAATCCCATCGCATTACATTGATTGCAAAGTATTGGTTTCTAATAAATGAAATATTTGTAACAATTATATCTAAAAGGTACAAAGTCAGAGTGAAAGTACCCGAAAACAAAAAAATTGAGTGATTGTGTCACTACGACCATCTTTATCTAGGCTGTTATTAGCAGGTTTACCTTATGCGTTTTTACTTATTCCTTCAAAAGATTTCAGTATAACATATGAACTTACCATACCAGCCGATGCCCGCCCAGCACGCGATGAATACCAAGAACAAGAGCAGACAAATTATGTCCGTACACGATCTGTTTTTCAACGGGCCATTGAAATCCGGGTCGTATCGTATCGGTTGTCCTGCAACAATAGAAGAACTATAGTGCAGTCGCCGTTTCGCATCGGCGTCTCTGCAGTTTACGACTATGTGCCGGCATACGCATAATTTAAACCTTCAAACAAAACCTGAGACGTTGACAATAATGTCATAGACGGTAAAATTGTTGTCAACAGCAGTTCTAAAAAATGTTAAACCAAGTGGCAAACCTTACGCAATGACAGGAGAACTAAAAATTATCTAAAAATCTAAAATTAAAAAAATAATAATAAGTTGATAATTAAACTGCCGCTATATTTGCAATAAAACAAACAAAAATCCGGAAATTGTAATTACTTCAGTAGAGAAGGTTCTCTACTACTATTGTTGTGAAGGATTTTTTAAAAATAAATGTAAAGAAAAAATTAGGTTGCGTATAAGTAAAGGATGTTTTTTTTATGTAAAGAACTTTAAGTTGCAATAAAACAACGATGGATTGTTCGATTGACATCAATTTTATTTATACCAAAGTTAATCTTGTGGCATTACATTTTAAATATGATTTCTGGCATATGACCGCCACGGCTGGCGCGGATGTAATCCAATCTGGACGTCCAATTTTCGATGACTTTTTCCAACATTTGTGGTCATATATCCGCAGTAACACGGCGAATGTTGTCTTCCAGATGGTCAAGCATTTGTGGCTTATCCGCATAGACCAATGACTTTACATAGCCCCACAGAAAGTAGTCCAGAAGTGTTAAATCACAGGATCTTGGAGGCCAATTCACAGGTCCAAAACGTGTTATTCAATTCAGGAATGAAAGAGTTAGTAATCATAGCTCTATACCGACTGTAACGTTCTGGCCATCATCGTTTTTGAAGAAGTACGGACCAATGATTCCACCAGCCCATAAAGCGCACTAAACAGTCAGTTTTTCTGGATGTAAAGCTGTTTCGACCTACACTTGAGGATTAGCTTAGCTGCAAATGCGGCAGTTTTGTTTGTTGTCGTAGCCATTCAACCATAAGATCCTTCCGCAAAATCTTCTATAAAGTGGATGGACACAGATCCAATTCCTGTGCTCGGACTCATTCGGGTCTTCTTCAATGCTACGCTCTACAGCAGCAATAGCTTCTTCTGTACGCACCGTACGCCGTCTCTGGGGATGCGAGTTATCAATAAGAGTAAACGTGGTGCGAATGGACGATAAAATGGACGTAGTGCGCATCTGTCCGAAAAACCGTTTACTTCTTGAATTTCTTCACTGGCAATACCTTGGTCTTCAATAGTCATCTGTTTTCCAACTTCAAACTTCTTTCCCCTTTTTGTTTTTGTCTCGTCTTCGTTTGTTCCAATCATTTCTTTGACAAACTTTACCAATCGTCGATCAAGAACTCGTTTAGTTTCTTCCAAGTTTTTAGGCAATCGTCCAGGAATCTTCCTTAAGACTTCATCAACATTCATTGGGTACAGCCCGATGGTTCTAAATCCTGATTTTAAATTTCTCTACAGAGTGTTCTTTGGACACTTCCTCTTAAAGGGTGCAAATACAGCCAGATCTAGAGACTGAATCAAATATGTAGCGTCGGTTGGAAAAGGTAACATATAAATATTATTTTCTAGGGATGCTTTTATGACCTGTAGTGAAAATGACTAGCCAGGTTATCCTGAAGACAATTTCCAAAAAGTGCTTACACCGTTTAGTGAAAAGCTCTGTCTGTATCCAGCCTGACGGATGGTAAGCGTCTGTTCGCCGACTGGACCACCATTTATTAACAACGAATCATCTCGCTTTCGAAGAAATATCATCATTCGGGGAACAGACGATCGAGCTGTTCGCATTTCCGTAGGGACAAATAGTTCTTTAAATTTTTAAAACATCTGCAAATTGTAAAAAGACACGTTCAATTTTATCAGGCAGCTCGAAAACAATAATGGTCCAAGATTAGAACCCTGAGGCACGCCGGATGTCGTGACAAACCGCGCCGACGGGGATCCATTATAGCTTACTGAGAGCACTCTATAAGAATTAAAAAGATTCAAAAGCGGCTGGCTAAAACCCAGCACGGCATTCTTAGGCTTAGCAACATCCAAATGCACTATATCAACCTGAATTCCCTTATCGACAGAGTCTGCGATATACTGCGTCAGTTTTCCGAAGTTGGAAGTAGTAAATCGTCCTGCTATGAAGCCGTGTTGATTAAGAGAATGTCAATAATCATCAAATCATTTTTTCAAAGGATTTAGCAAAAGTTGATAGGATCGCAATTGGCAGATAATTTTTAATAGAACGGGACACACCCTAGCCAACACTCTGGGTATATCTAGGTAATTGTTGCCCACATTAATTCTACCCCACCAGTTGAAGTCATTGCGAACGTAGCGAAATTCATAGGGAATTCGTAAAAGGTGGTCTGTCAGTTGCCGATCTTCATGGAGATTACGCAGAGCAAAGATCAGCTACTACAAAACCAGTAGCTGGCTAAATTTTTTAGCACAAGATTTCATATTAGATTCTTTTAATCCAAAAAAAGATCAATGCGATTTGTGTGAATGCTATAAATTACGAAGAACGTTTGACCCAAAATGAAGTGAAGAAAAAGAGAAAGGTAAAAGAAGGGCTCTTCGCTCGCTGTATATGAACCTCAAGCAGTGTTGCTTGTGCCTATAGGCCAAACTTTTGGCTTTTTACAGTAAGCTTAGCTTCACAATTTAGTAAACGGATTCTAAAATGTTCATAAAATCCACTTGAATCAATTTCTATCAAAATCTAGTTTTGACTCAAGAGAAAAGGAAAACTAATATTTACCATTTTTTTCCTTTTTCAGAAAATTATGTTAAAAAGTCGGCAATCATTTATTGCCTCTCCTACAAAACCATGCCATTTGCATTTACGTCGTTATCCCATCAGTGTGTTTAATTTATTAGAATCAGAAAACTGAATGTAACATTATTAGACAATAAGAAAATGAACCAAATGGATCAGCATATTTGTTCCACAGCATATTCGTTATCGGTCCACACGATTATTTACAGTGACTCATGGAGATAAAGATTAAACACTTTAAAAAGGATAAGATTGCGTTATGATACTGTTCTCTTGAAAATATATGACGTGTAATCTTTCTTTTTCTGTGTATTTTACAAATGTAAATTATAAAGAGTAGAATAGTGTTTTCGTTGACAATTGAAACACATTTATTAATTTACTTGCTCTTATTGACTCCTCCATTTAGAAATTTTATTATTATCAATCACTCACTCATTATCATTATCAAAGAACGAAACACCTTCTTGTGGGACCAAAAAATCATTATATATATATATATATATATATATATATATATATATATATATATATATATATATATATATATATATATATATATATATATATATATATATATATATATATATATATATATATATATATATATATATATATATATATATATATATATATATATATATATATATATATATGTGATGACACTATATTCCGGGATATCATCCGTTCGCTTGTTGAACTCCGCGACTGGAATCCTGCATCCGACTAGAATCCTGCATCGGACTGGAATCCTGCAGACGTTTCTCACTTGGCATCTTCAATGCTCGCGCTCCGCAAATATGTACAGTATGTCCGTACAGTATGTTGTTGTAAAACGAAAGATGCCGTCAACAGAATTTTCTTATCCCATTGCATTTCTCCACTGGAGTAGCTAGTTTTTTCAGATTTTTTTATGGGATACCCCGCATAATTTTACGTCTTTGAATTGCATCCGCTAAGGGTCCGTATTCAAAATTATAATATTTTAATAAGACTTCTTATAGTAGGCCATGAAATGAAAAATTATTTTTATTAAATAATGTATTTATTACCATATTAGGTAGTTTTAGTTCATTAATATTAATTACTATGTAGTACTAAATTATTGTTTTAAGAAGTATGTTTGCCCATGTTATTTATTCTTTCCTCGCAAAAAAAATAGTCTGTCTCAATCTTCACCGTGCCGGCTTTTGCTCACAATTATGAAAGTAAGCTGCTGACAGAAATTAAACACTTGCCGGAATTAAATGGTAGAATATTAGGGTCGGACTCTCAAAGGTTTTGATAGTAATATATATATATATATATATATATATATATATATATATATATATATATATATATATATATATATATATATATATATATATATATATATATATATATATATATATATATATATATATATATATATATATATATATATATATATATATATATATATATATATATATATATATATATATATATATATATATATATATATATTTATTTAGGTGCGTATAATCTGACCTTTGATTTTAATCGGTTCCACAAATGCTCCCTCCAATGATATGGAGGAAAACGTAGAACAGTCTGCCCAGCCTGTTTAACCAAATTATGCATACATACTTTTTTCATGTTTCCTGAGTTTTTATGAAATTTATTTTTATATAATCATTTTTGCTATCTTTTATAACTTTGTTTTCTATATTCAACATATTCTTGTTTTTTTATGTCCGTGTAGTTTTTAATTAAATCCTTTTTAAGCGGCCGGTGTGTTTCATAGAATTAATTATTGAGTTTGATATCCACGGCTTGCTTTTTTTAACGAAGTTTTCGCATTTGATTTGTATTTCCGACTGTTTTATGATATTATTACACACTATTCATTTTTTAAAGTCAATTTTAGTAAAATTAACCTCAGAATCAGTGTTTTAAATTATGAAAATTATTATGACCAAACGGTCAAGGCACTGAGAGAACTATTCTGTATTCTTTAAATATAGTGTGACTTCTAAGAAAGAAGGAAACAAACCTTTGTATAAGTATTTTGATGTTTTCGATAGCTCTAGTAGTAACGGAAATAAGAACATGAGAAAATAAGAAATGACTCGCAAACCAAAAAAAAAGCAAAAAAAAGTTTTAATAGATGCTGTACAAAATCAAAAGATATAAATTTTACAAAAATTTTCAAGTGCAAAGGATTGTACTGTACCACTTATCGATCATTT